TTTTGTACATTGCGATAAATAAATTCTTGAGTATAATCTACATTTGGCATCTCTAATAATCAAGAGTATTTCTCTATTTTCCTAAAATATATTTTTTTATTTGTATAGATTAAGTATGCCTAATTACATCATCACTATCAGATTAACCACTGTAGGCTATGTTTTCCCAATAAGGATGTATATACACTACTGGAATCTGTTTGCTCATAGTAATCACTATATATCATGTTGTGCATGCTTCACTGATAATATGAATTGATTACACTGTATTTGTACATTAAAATTATACATTGTGATAGATTTTAAGAGACTACATATCCCAGCTACCACTTATGGCATGGCATTTCCGGTTTCTGGCTTATGACTACGAATATAACAGATGGACACTTGGGGAAACTACATTTCCCATCATACACTGGTACTCGCGGCACGTCTCTTCCGGTTGACGGCCGCGATCTGAACTACATGCCTCATATGGACTACATCTCCCAGCACATACTAATGGTCGCGGCGCGTCATTTCCGGTCGACGCCCGCGACCAAACAGGAAATAGGAAGAACAGCACCACACCAGATTATTATTGAACTACCAACTCTCCCTATATAAACCGGGTGGAACGCCAAGGACATCCTCTCTTTTGAAAAAGCCCAAACCCGGGCGAAACGCGTCAAGGATAGGATTTGAAGTTACTATATATGTTTTTTATATACTTTTACCCATATATATTTTAAAATATATTTTTTTAATAATAAATTTCATTGCCTTTTTTCAAATCCCTTGGCTTTTGCATATCTTCTGGTGCTGCTGCTTTCCTGTTATATCCTGTGGTGGGGATTATACCACCATAAGCTGTCATCACCAGAGCAAGTCATTGCTCTGGATACTGTAAGTAGGATACCTACTTTTTTCTATATTATTTCCAGTTTATGATATTGTACCATTGGTCTGTATATTTTGTTTTTTTTCATATATATATGACCGTTGAATTTGGACCTCCTGGTATATTCAGATCCTAAGACGGGGATTGTACCGTCCAGGCGTTATACGGCAGAGCTCCTAGCAGCTCGGTAAAGTGTGAGTTTGCTCTTTACTCACAGTGTATCTTATTTATACATTATTACAATACCTTTTCATACTGCACTATTATTGTTTATTGTTTTCTTTGAGGTTTCCATATGCTGTAACATTCAAGAACTACATATCCTAAGACGGGGATTGTACCGTCCAGGCGTTATACGGCAGAGCTCCTAGCAGCTCGGTAAAGTGTGAGTTTGCTCTTTACCCACAGTGTATCCTATTTATACATTACTAAAGTACTTTTGCATATTGCACTATTATTGTTTATTGTTCTTTTTTGAGGTTCCCATATGCTGTAAAATTCAAGAACTACATGTATGTACATTTATGATTATCTGATTACTTATTCTTTTGGCGCGGTCTACCACCTTTTCTTTTTCACTTTCACTATTTAGCAGGCATTGGGAAGTCCTGCAGGTTCACTGCTGCCTTTTCACATTTATTGGGTTTTTTTAGTGAGCGCCTATATCCTTCCTTTCTTATTAGTATTCACAAATATGTTTTATTAACCCCTTCCAGACCGAGGACGTACTAGGTACATCCGACAAAAACGGTTCTTAAGGACTGCAGATGTACCGAGTACGTCCTCGCAGTCCCTCTTACTTACCCGATCGCCTGCGATCGGTGTTCCTCCCTGTTGGGGGGGACTGTCTGACAGCCCAGACAGTCCCCCATCGGCAAATAAGGCCCCTGCGTGCCATTTGATCACTTTGAAAGAGCGGTCATATGGCCGCGATAGGTGTCCATAGTGCTGCCTGCAGGTGGACTGCCTGAACTGACAGGCAGTCTCTGTGCATCTGTAAAATAAAAAAAAAATGTTCAAGGAAAAAGACCCGCCAGGGTCGAAGCGTCGATTGATTTTTTTTAAAAAAATTTTTTGTACATTTCACATGGAATAATTAAAATGTACTTTTTTTCACTTCAACTGTGAGTGCATCCTGATTTTGGATTATTGTATATTTCTGGTGCATAGGATATAGCACCCAGGCATTAAGTCTCTATTTATCACTAAAAGGAGAGTGCCAAGCATCTATTTTGTTGAGATAGAGATATATATATATATATATATATATATATATATATCTCTTATATAATGTCATACTAAGTGTATTTTTTTTTTATTAATATATACATATATTAATATAAAAATACACTAAGAGTAAAATTACACACGCACGTGTGTGTGTATGTATGTGTGTGTGTGTGTGTATGTGTATATATATATATATGTGTATATACATATATATATATATATATATATATATATATATACACATATACAGTTGCAAGAAAAAGTATGTGAACCCTTTGGAATGATATGGATTTCTGCACAAATTGGTCATAAAATGTGATCTGATCATCATCTAAGTCACAACAATAGACAATCACGGTCTGCTTAAACTAATAACACACAAAGAATGAAATGTTGCCATGTTTTTATTGAACACACCATGTAAACATTCACAGTGCAGGTGGAAAAATTATGTGACCCCTTGGATTTAATAACTGGTTGAACCTCCTTTGGCAGCAATAACTTCCACCAAACGTTTCCTGTAGTTGCAGATCAGACGTGCACAACGGTCAGGGGTAATTCTTGACCATTCCTCTTTACAGAACTGTTTCAGTTCAGCAATATTCTTGGGATGTCTGGTGTGAATTGCTTTCTTGAGGTCATGCCACAGCATCTCAATTGGGTTGAGGTCAGGACTCTCTCTGGGCCACTTCAGAAGGCGTTTTTTTCTTCTGTTTGAGCCATTCTGTTGTTGATTTACTTCTATGCTTTGGGTCATTGTCATGTTGCAACACCCATCTTTTGTTGAGCTTCAGCTGGTAGACAGATGGCCTTAAGTTCTCCTGTAAAATGTCTTGATAAACTTGGGAATTAACTTTTCCTTCGATGATAGCAATCCGTCCAGGCCCTGACGCAGCAAAGCAGCCCCAAACCATGATGCCCCCACCACTATACTTCACAGTTGGGATGAGGTTTTGCTGTTGGTGTGCTGTGCCTTTTTTTCACCACACATAGTGTTCTGTGTTTCTTCCAAACAACTCAACTTTGGTTTCATCTGTCCACAGAATATTATGCCAGGACTGCTGTGGAACATCCAGGTGCTCTTGTGCAAACTGTAAACGTGCAGCAATGTTTTGTTTGGACAGCAGTGGCTTCCTCTGTGGTATCCTCCCATGAAATCCATTCTTGTTAGTGTTTTACGTATTGTAGATTCGCTAACAGGGATGTTAGCATTTGCCAGTGACTTTTGTAAGTCTTTAGCTGACACTAGAATTCTTCTTCACCTCATTGAGCAGTCTGCGCTGTGCTCTTGCAGTCATCTTTACAGGACGGCCACTTCTAGGGAGAGTAGCAGCAGTGCTGAACCTTCTCCATTTATAGACAATTTGTATTACCGTGGCCTGATGACCAGCAAGGCTTTTGGAGATACTTTTATAACCCTTTCCAGCTTTATGCAAGTCAACAATTCTTAATCGTAGGTCTTCTGAGAGCACTTTTGTGCGAGGCATCATTCACATCAGGCAATGCTTCTTGTGAAAAGCAAACCCAGAACTGGTGTGTTTTTTTTTATAGGGCAGGGCAGTTGTAACCAACACCTCCAATTTCATCTCATTGATTGGACTCCATTTGGCTGACATCTCACTCCAATTAGCTCTTGGAGATGTCATTAGTCTAGGGGTTCACATACCTTTTCCACCTGCACTGTGAATGTTTACATGGTGTGTTCAATAAAAACATGGCAACATTTCATTCTTTGTGTGTTATTAGTTTAAGCAGACTGTGATTGTCTATTGTTGTGACTTAGATGATATATATATATTATAAATAAATTCTATGTGCATACTTATGTAATATTTTTACATAATTAAGTAATTTTATTGATTGATTGCAATTTGGGGGACCTGCCTGACAACCGAGGCCAAAAGTGCAGAGAATTTAATTTGCTAGCACTATATTTAACCTTGTAACTTTCCAAGACACCCTAAAACCTGTACATGGAGGGGTACTGTTTTACTCGGTAGACTTTGCTGAACACAAATATTAGTGGTTTTAAAACAGCAAAACATATCACCGCGATGATATTGTCAGTGAAAGTGAAGTTTTTTGCATTTTTCACACACAAACCGGTTTTATAGTGTTTTTGAAAAGTTACAGGGTGAAATATAAGGCTTGATTTTCTGTTTTTTCACATTGAAATTCTCCAGATTGGTTACGTTGCCTTTGAGACCGCATGGTATCTCAGGAATGAGAATTACCCCCATGATGGCATACCTTTTGCAAAATAAGACAACCCAAGGTATTGCAAATGGGGTATGTTTGGTCTTTTTTTAATTTTTTTTTTTTTTTTTTAGTAGCCACAAACACTGGCCAAAGTTAGTGTTCATAATTATTTTTTGCATTTTTAACACACAAACAAATAAATAAATATAAATGCTAACTTTGGCCAGTGTTTGTGACTAAGTGGCTACTAAAAAAGACTGGACATGCCCTGGGTTGTCTACTTTAAAAAAAATATGTACATGTGAGGTGTGATTCAGAGATTTATGACAGATAACAGTGTTACAATGTCACTATTGATAAATTTTAAAAATATATATTTTGAAACAGCAATGTCCTACTTGTACTTATAGCTCTATAACTTGCAAAAAAAGAACATGTTAACATTGGGTATTTCTAAACTCAGGACAAAATTGAGAAACTATTTAAGACAGGTGTTTCTTGGCGGTTGTAGATGCATAACAGATTTTGGGGGTCAAAGTTAGAAGAGGTTTGTTTTTTTTTTTAAAAAAAAACAAAATTTCAGCCATGGTCCTTCACGGTAAAAAAAATGGAAAAACCATCTTGTCACTAAGGGGTTAAAGGTCTAGCATCCACAATTCCCTGTATTCTCTTCTAGCTTACTCTGGTGTATATGGCGACAATCTACCGCGAATCTCAGGTAGGGGGGGCCATCGACCCGTGGGACCCACAGTCACGATCCCAGGACTCACAGGGCTACCTACCGATGCCCTTTTTAAGCCCACAAACGGGCAAAAAACGAGTCCGCAAATCCCGGGCCTACCTCACTCTCCCGCCGGCATCGCAGCTACCCGCGGGGATCCCCCTGAGCCTGGAGGACTGGTGCGGACAGCGGGCAGGTCACTACTCACCCGACAACGATATGGGGAGGCGAACACAGAAGCCACAACAGGCAGCACCCAGGGACTCCCAAGATATTGGGACTCTGCTGCAACGCACAGCAGGCCACAAAATGGCGGCCGAACAAGAACAGGAACCTAGCCCCACACATTCAGCACAGCTGTCCCAGGGAAGCAGCAGTGACATGAGAGCTGAAGCTCCCAGCAACCCACAAGCAGAGAGGGATGACTCAGCCCCAGCCACTAAAAGGGACATCAGACTCCTATTACAGGAGATGAAGGGGCTGTTTGACACTGACATAAACTTAATCCGCACAGAAACGCAGGCGGTGACGGCAAGAGTACAGGCCTCTGAAGAAGACATACTAGACCTCCGACAGGAGGTGAAAAGCATGGGGGACGCCCTGAAACATTTACAGACAGCGAACTCAGCACTCCAAAACACGCTAGACGCCATGGAAGATCGCAACAGGCGCACACATATTAAGATTCGGGGTATTCCTGATGCAGTGGGACCATCCGAATTACCACAGTTCCTGAGGAGACTCACGGCCACAATACTGCCACATACACAAGCCAAAAAGCTGGAATTTGACAGCCACTTCCGCATTAACAAAGCAAAAAGGGCACCCACAACGGCCCCAAGGGACGTCATCGTCCGCTGCCATTCCATGACAGACAAACGCCGCATACTAGCAGCAGTAAGAGACAAGACACCCTTGGCCTTCGAAGCCTCACAACTTACCTTCTTCCAAGATATCACGCGGAGCACCCTACTCTGGAGAAAGTCCTTGAGCAACATAACGGAACAACTGCAGAAGGGGAACGTAGAATACAGATGGCTGCTGCCAAGAACTCTGGCGGTATTCAGCGGAGAAGAAGTTCTAAAACTCACCTCACTCTCGGAGGCCCCAGCGCTTCTCCAAAAATTGGGACTAACTCAGAACGCCCCAACACCGGGACCAACACAAGCTACCCACTCCTGGGACCCGGACAGAATAGTACCATATGTCCCTAGGGGCAACAAGAGACCGGAGACGGAGACCTGAACACCTTAAACTGTTTACCTCTTAATTTTATTTCCATGCTCTGATATTCTCCCCTCTTCTATGATTTCACCCTATTGCTCCACGAAAACACGACATCTCACTATTAACTCCCCATACAAAGTCGGAGACGATCTCCCAACCCCCGCGACCCTCTTAGGTTAAGGGCCAACATTACCTACTAACCCAAGCATAGCAAACGCGACACAAAACCCACACTCAGGCACAGACAGACGCACATATACAATTTTCACCGAGGACGAGCAACAGCACGTTACAATTATCAACACCCCCCCTCAAATAACAGAGAGGAGTGCCACTTAACCACTCACAGGACCCAAGCAACATAGACACAAACATTCACAACCAGTTCACCCTATGGGAACCTACCGCATGGGCACACTCGACACACTAGAAAACCAGAAAAAGTGCAGAAACATGACCACAAGTTCTTCCTGACTACTAGGACGCAAGCTAAATTCCTCCGACCGTAGAACAAAAAGACTCATGCTATATACTTGCTGCCAATCCTATGCTCCTGATATGTTATAAGTGTAAAACGTATAGACTGATCTAGACCCTTGGCAAAACAATTGTTATTTACTAATCTGCCTATGTTGAAAAGGCAGCTCAAGTATGTTATTCTTTGTTACATTTCTCAATGCACAGAAAATAAAGAATTAAAAAAAAGTATATGGCACTGTGTTATTGGAGGATTTCAGTGTAGCCAATTACAGGTTATCCTTATGGTATTCCTAAATTGGAGCCTTCCAAACCCTTGCACTCTGTACATTCCAAAATAGAGCAAGTGGTTATGAGCTACACAGTAATAACTCTGCAAAAGGTAAACCTATTTTGCAGCAGCCCAGGATTATGACTGATTGCTGATATTATATAAATAGGAGCCAAATAAATGTGTTTTCTCTGTTTGTGCATCAGTGGTTGCCCACCTCAATCATTGCACATTCACATGAAAAATGATATCTCCAAGAAGTGTACCTTGCTGAATGCATGATGTCCCATTTCCCGTTTCAGTCTGTATTGCCTAAAGGTTCACGGACTTGCCTCACTTTGGCGTCTCTTCCGAGGCAAGAAGTGGAATGTCCTGCGTCAAAGGGTGGACTCCTGTTCTTACGATCTGGATCAGGTATATTCGCTTCCATTGCCCTTGTATGTTAAAAGCAGGTAGTAATTTTCATTCGTAGAGGCAAGTGTAAGAGACAAAACCACAAACCGGATATACTTCTTTATAATTACGTTCAGTGTTAACTTGTATCCTGAAGTCTATTTTTACAGCCTCACAGGATCCCTGGTCATAGTTTGTAGCAGGGGGGCTATCATACGCAGTGAATAGAAACATAGAAACATAGAATGTGACGGCAGATAAGAACCATTCGGCCCATCTAGTCTGCCCATCTAGTCTGAATGCATTCCCACATCCACCATCACATGTGCAAAATGTACATTATGTTGGTGCATAGCCAGGGCTGGGGACTAAAACCAGAACATCAGGAAAACAGACAATGTCGAGAGGTTTTACAGTACACATATCCAACAGTCTGCAAGAGAAAAACATCTGCGTAGACACATTTTGCTAACACGATTCCATTTCTAATTCTTTTTGTACCCATATACGTATCTGGTGTCTCATCAATCCTGGCTTTTCAAATCTACTGTATTAGTTTGATTCCAACTAAATTGTATTAATTCCCCCCATTCAGTTTTCCCAGTGCTGAGACTTTATAAGTGCAGTATCTGAATTAGAACATTTCCAGCAGGTTATGGCTTCTCGTTGGTGATCAATGTTAGGAATGTTGTGTGTGTTTGTTTGTGCTTGTGTTTGTAACCGATTGTTTTTATGTTTTAAACAGCTGTTTCTTGGGACATTGCTGTTCACAATCCTTCTCTTTCTGCTTCCAACTACTGCCCTGTATTACCTGGTATTCACCCTGGTACGTAGACCGGCAGGTTCAAGACCTCAATTCTGTGGCCACGTGCATGTTATAGGACATGAATTCTACCCAGAGAATTACATTATACTGAACCAATTGATATGTAAACATTTCAAATTTACGTTTGGATTAAATTGAAACAAATCAGATACATAGTGCTGGCAGCTGATTACATTCAAAATCCTAGGGTCAAATATTTACCAAGTCTTCTAAAGCCTGATACATTGTACTGCACATTTCATTTAAAGGGATTCTCCAGTGCCAGGAAAACAAACCAGTTTCCTGGCACTGTAGAATCCTGGAGTGCCCCCCATCCCAAGTCACTGAAGGGGTTAAAATCCCTTTTGTCACTTACCTGAATCCAGCACTGGGTCAGTTTCCGCCCACGTTCCTCCCCCGCCGGCAAGGGAGACCTAATGTGCATGCGTGGCAATGGCCGCTCGCGCGCATTAGACCTCCCCATAGAAAAATAATTATTCATTGCTTTGCTATGGGGATTTAGGCAACGCTGGAGGTCCTCATGCATAGCGTGAGAATGTCCAGCGTCGTTTAGACGTCCAAAAGTGGTCTAAGAACCCGGAAGTTGACAGTAGACAGCCACTAGAGGAGGACTTAACCCTGCAAGGTAAATATTGCAGTTTATAAAAACTGCAATAATTACACTTGCAGGGTTAAGGGTGATAGGAGTTGTCACCCAGACCACTTCAGTGGTCTCGGTGCCTACAGTGTCCTTTTAATATTTAGTTGTCCTTTGACTTGGTGCTGTGTAGAAAGTACTGCAATGAGCCAATCAATTCTTTTAACAGTTAATATCTTAAGTAGGGACTGATGCAGATCCTAAAATTCCTGAATATACATTATAGAAGTAGTGTGACTGTAAGCTGTGCCTAAAGTGGTATTAGCTGCCTTACAGATGAGGCCTGTGATAGGCCAATCCAGCTGATCTGATTTTGTTTTGACCTATCTTGTGCAGAGAGGACCTGTTGGCATTTTGGTTCTAGTTGGCCCTTGTGGGCGGGATCATTCTGATATGCAAATGATACAGGTTTTCTTCTGGACTGGCGCAATAGAATAACTATATAACTATTGTCATGTCAGGGTAATTCACTAACGTGTAAATGGTCAGGGAAGCAAAGTAAATTCTACCCTAGAATTGAAAACATAGCTGACTTCTTTCTTTTTCCAATTTGCCTCTTGTGGCCTAAACGTTTTAAAAGTCATGGTGAAGAATGCGATCTGTGTTGACTATACATAATACAGCCAATTGTTCTAAACAGATCTATAGTACAGTAAAATATATTAATCATTTATTTGAAGATGTTAGATACAAACATACAGTTCCTGAATAGATCAGACCGTTACGTTGAGAATAGAGAAATCTTGTGAGGAATTCGACATAGAAGGAGGATCTCACTTTTTTCCTTTTAACAGTTACGGCTACTTGTGGTCCTAGTTCAAGGTGTTATCCAGATGATCATTAATCTGCTGAACTCGCTCCCTCTCTATGCCCTTGTATTGCGACTCTGCAGATCCTACAGATTGGCAGGTGAGTAACTCCGAACATGTAACGCTATCTCGCCCCAGCTGGGGGGATCTTGTTTTCCATAATTGCATATTAGACCCCTCACTGCCAAGCGATTTGCCAAATAAAACCCCACTAAAAAGCAGGTTTTGTTTTATGGAAAGGAGTGTGTTTTTTTTGTACACATAGATAACACATTGTTTCTCCTTATACTGAACGGGTGCAGGGCCTATTCTGGAAATCTTTTGATCTCTCTGCTGCCCGATGCAGCGACCGAGTGCCCAACTTATAGAGATATACAAATTTGCAGAATTCATTTGCAGTGAATAAATGTTTCTTGCATTGTTGAAATCATGTACACCAGATTCTTGTGCATGGGAGATTATATTGATAAGCGTTCATATTGAACATGTCGGCAAAGCACTAACAATGTGATGTTACCACTTTCAGCTGGGGTTAAATTCCGAATGCTGCTACAAGAAGAAGGGAAAAGTCTAAGACTCTTGATGCAGGTAAAAATGTAACTCCGAGTTTTAATCTGTCCAGTCTATAATAGTTATTATTCCATTTCCATATATATCTAGTACTACTTAAATCTTCTACGAGCCATTGTAATGTTTTGATAACAGTGACCGTGCTTGCTTGAAATCATTAATAAAGTGAAAAATTATTAATTGTGCTCCTGCAGATCAACCCTTTGCCATATGGAAATGTACTGCAGCAATACAAGATTCCAGCCAGTAAATTCTACCCCAAAGATTCCTGGGGTTCATTGTGCAAGAAGCTGTTCATCGGGGAACTTATTTACCCCTGGAGGCAGGAAAGAGACAAGCAGGACTGACCATGTCTGACAGCCATGTCTGGGGAGTGAAGGGGGCAGCCCTAGAGGAAAGCAATTGTCTAGGAATTCTTTAACCAGCATTAAATCTGAATAATGTCGAAAAAGAATAATTTGTAGTGTCACAAAGACAATTTGATCCTCACAACTGCTGAAAATTAACTAATGTGAAGAGATTTCTTGACCAATGTAAATACTAGTTGTTGCAGATTAATGGTAGTTATTTGCACTGATGATGTTTATTTTACTATACAATGGTAATATAGTATCATTTTTATAAGCTGATTGGCTATATGAGATTGTATGGAGATTTTATACTATTCTATATTATAGCAGTAATTATTATGTCCTGAAATCATTTTCTAACATGGAAGTGGCAATTTGGAATTTCATTTTCTTTTCTTCCGTCTTTAATACATTCTTGTGCTATTATATTCAAAATCATTAATGACGCCAGGAAATCTACTAGCACTGCTATTTTCTGTCTAATAACGAGCTTACTGCCAATGTCAATGCAGGAGAGAGAGAGAGACTGTCTCTTCATGCATATATTATTTATAGAATATATTTGTGGTTACCCAGTGTGCCAGACTTTTTCAAGATTAAGCTGTGTAACTGTAGGTACTAATTAATACAATGGGCATTTCTTCCTGGTAGTGAATGGGTTACTCTCGCTGTGTAACATTTGATGGCTGAGGTTACAAACCGTAAAAGCGGCACAGTCAAAAGGTAAACCTAGGACAATATAGGGACAACTTTTGACTCGTGTAATTGTCAACCTTTGGCAAAGGGCAGTGTTTCTACTGCCATTTTCTCTTGTTGGTAGTGATGCATAATGGGAACAGGCATAATCTTGTGTGATGCGCAATTGATGTCTATGGAACCTCATTGCACATGAGCAATCTCGCAGGATCCTCCTTAGACTCTGTTTTGTTCTCTCACACATCCACAATGGCATGACGATGACAGCTTCAGGCAGATGAACTTGCCACAAGCTGAAGACTGATGGTGGTGCAGGGGAGATACAGCTTAAGGTAAATATATGACTGTCTCTGCATCCCCCTTGTGCCACCTCTGCACAACTGGACATGTCATCCTGTCACCCCAAAAGCGACAGTGCTGCTTTAAGTTACGTATAGTAATTTGGGGAAAGGGGAAAAAAAATAGGGCATAAACACTGGAAGTTCAGTCTGAGCCTTACAGAGCCTCTAGGAAGATGGCCCAAATCATTAAATTGCTACTACATATGTTCCACCATAACTTCAAAACAGAGTACATCTGGAAAAAACAAATGTAGAGTGAGAAGAATTATACTTTGCAAACTTACTGTGAGCATAGCACTGATTTTCTATTTATTTAATAGGGAGGGTGTGCTTCTGCATAAATACTCTCTATTTTTACTATCAATTTAAAGAGGTAAGTCCCATGGATGAAATCTATTTTACTTTTAAAGCACCGTGTACAGCAGGTTACATTGTTACATTGAGGAAAGGCATGTTTCCTACTGTTACTGAAATGTATCCCAACTTGCAACACTCCATTGTGTATTTAAATGTGATATTATGGTGTAACCGTTGCTGCCAAGTCTCGGTTTGCTAAATGTTGTATGACAGAGCTTAGTAAATCCTTTATTTCCCCATTGTCTTAATCCTAGGGGTGGTGATACATAGGTATTCTGTAATGCAGTAACATACATGTGTGTTAGTTTTATCTACCTGACTGGCCTAATTGCTAAGACTTGGTACACAAGTTCTGATAATTATAGAAATATCTGTTTTTTAAAAAAAACATCAATTTCTGAATTTTTTTTGGGAAAAACTATTTTATAATGGCTAACCGATAATGATAATGAAATGGTACCTTGAATGAAGAAAATTCCGTTAACACTGCAGAACTAATCCATAGTCATGATATTCTGCTAATGGAAAGCAATTAACCCCTTAAGGACCAAACTTCTGGAATAAAAGGGAATCATGACATGTCACATGTCATGCAATAGCAACTTATTTACTATTTAGTTGGTTGTAACTGTTTGCAAATACATAGACCGGAACATCTGAAAAATACAGAATCACTCACATCCAGTTCTAGCAGTGTAAATTGCAGTGGGAAGTCACAAACTGAAGCTCCTTACCCAGCATGCTAATTGATATATCCCAGAATGCTTTACTTTGCGGTAGATCAGAGAGAATACTCTGGCTAGTGCACTTATTCAATTTATTTACAAATATCAAAGACAAAATCCCTTTTACCAGAATTTATCCTCTAATTATCAAATCCGTTATGTTTTTTTTATTCTGACAATTTTCACCATCTCTGCTTAATAACTGCAGGTTTGTTTCTTTGCCAAAATAGTAGTTTTATTTATATTGTTACACCCCCCTAGAAATGTGATTTTTCTGTCACTGGACCAAGATTATTTTAGATATTCATGTAGATTTTTGGGAGGAATCTTTTTGTAAACCTTCTAACCCTGTTAACTAATAAAGAAAATCTTTTCAAATTTTATATTATGTGTTTATTTCTGTGTTTTAATGTGTGTTATTCCATGCGTGTGCAATGGCCATTAGAGTGTAAAACCACAAAAGGAACAGAAACCTGTATTCTTAACGCTATAGTGTGCTCAGCATTTTGATACACCTTTTCTTCCCCCCCCCATATATTTATAAACACTTTTACAGTATATACTAAATGGCAGTGTTGCAGGACTAAAATGAAGGGGGGGAGTTGAAGGTAGATATACTGAAGCACTCCTTTTATAGGTGCACCCATTTCTGTTGCGGTTAAGATCTTTAGCAGTTTTATATATTAGAAGCTGCTTCAATATTAAACTCTCATGACGTCTAACGTTTTCTCAAATTTCCCAAGCCGTACGCCAGTGTTTACCTCCTAAAATATGCTGTCTTGCTGAAATTTCATAATTCCTAATGTGCGTTACCTGATTTAACACAATTGATGTAGTGTTCCACAAACTAGCTAGAAGTGGGAGCCATGACCCTTTGTGTTCTGCTGCTCCTCAGTAGTAGTTTCATAATGTATAGGCTTGGGGATTCTATGAGGGATATCAAATAGTAACATCCTGTGGTACATCAGGCGTGAAGGCCTGAAAGAATTAATTACCCAGTTGTGTCGGAGGTGTTATTTTAGAAAAAAAAAAGAAAAACACTTTAGACACAACAGGGTTATCCCTAAATCCTGGACTGGTAGCGGGGTACTTGAGGACTGGGTTGGGAATCCCTGTTCTAATGCATGAATTCAGCCTGCAGTATTCCTTTACACAAAGCTTCCAGACACATTTCGTATTAAATTGATGTGTTGCCTTGCCTTTTGGCTGGTAACACTTTAGTCAAAGCTTCAACAATTTGTTCAATCAATATCATTTTCTGTAAAGAACAACGAAGCTGTGTAAACTAAATAAATTAATTGAACCATGGCATATCTGACAATTGTTTGCAAAGGGAGTGTCTGGAACAGGATCCTGTTACCTCTACTCTTATTTCTTTCAATTCAGAGATTGTGAAAGAAACCCCACAAAGACACCAGACCTAACAATTTTATGTTCAAATATGTCCTGAAATGGCAATTTCTGGTATTTGTAAATAGGCAAATCTGATGTGTAATACGTTAAACCGCTTGCACTCAAAAAAATAACCCATGAAAGATCGATATTCCACACAACGTACAGGACTTTAGGCAGTGGAGGAGGCTGAGTGTGCCTTTGTGTGTAATGCAGGGGTGCCCAAAAGGTAGATCCCAAGATGTTTTAAGACAACAGCTTCCATGATGCTTTGTCATTCTAAAGGCATGCAAAGCATCATGGGAGTTATAGTTCTACAACATCTGGGAATCTACCTGTGTGTGTGTTTGCCTCTCCTGTTTACCTTTCCCTGGTGGTCCAGTGGGGGAGTGTTGTGTCTGCACCAATAGCAATACTGATCACCAACAGTAACGCTCAGAGTAATTGAATAGTGCCAGGGAAGAATGATCAATATGAGTACAGAACACAACACTACCTTGAGCAGATGAGAGGGCTCAGGGTTGAGCAGTGAGATTGTTTTGATCTCCCTGTAAGCTCAAAGAGCGCTCCCTCAAAGTCCGAGCTCCAGGCCCTAGACCGCCTAATGGTAATCTGTCTCTGTCAAACAGTATATTGCCACTGAATCAATAGCCTACTTTTAATCTGCAAAGTAAAATAATGGGTCTGACTGGGAAGAGTGGTCAAAGCAGGCATTAAGGACACAGAAAACCCAGTGCAGGTAATCTCAGGACCTCATTATATTTAAAGAAAGCTGGTCTCTGTCTCTCTTTACCCGATTCCCAGAACCATATTTTGCTTTGCATGTCATCTTTGGGGCATGTGAAAAAATAGCTTGTATAAACTGCTGCTCTGGTGGATGCAGCTATTGCAAGCTCTTCTTACTCATTGAGAATATTCTGTGGTCGAGCCATGAGCCCAATGAGCTGGACTACAGTTGCAGCAAGTGCGCATACATAGCCAGGGTAGGGAAAGGCAGGCGCTCTCTAGTTTAAGCACACCTGCTACTTGTCTTAGTGAAGGGAAGCTTATGAACCTCCCTGGTTGTATGATTTCACAACTGGGTAGGTATTGTGGTGCCCACTTAGAAACGTGCCAATTTCTATTTTATAATGGGGGTGGGGGAGGACGGACTGCAGAAACATATAGCACTTCAGCAAGCTAAATAATTACAAGGACTTCATGACACAACCAGTTAAAGGAACGCTTAGAAACACCTGTGTGAGAGTGTTTTAATTTTTTTACTTTTCAGTGCTGATTAACAGGGCTATTAGCTAAAGTGAGAAAACATTAATTTAAAGTGGATTTCAAATTTAAGGACAAAATAGCCAAACTAGAAAAATTCTCATCGTTGTTTCAGTTCAACTACTCTGGTCTTAAATTTAAAATTCACTTTCAATTCTCACTTTAGTAAATAAGCCCTGTGAGAAATGACCTTTTTACACTTCCCTGAATTTACCATCAGATAGCTGGGTCTGTTTCTTCCTGGAGCTCAGCAGAGCCAAATTTAAGGGGCAGGCAATTTGTCCACAGCTCCTGCCTTGCAAAGACTTCTCGTGGGAGCTCTAATACAGCTCACTGAGAAGTCTGAAATTGGGCAACCACAAAAAGTCTGCACCAGGGAAGATTGGGAGTTATAGAAACTGCATATACTAGATTTGCAGCTATTGCAACTAAGATTTGATTTACCCCTAAGGACTAATTGCATGCCCTTTTTCTTTTGAAGTACATATACTAAATTATGACATTTTCCATTTAATTAAGATATTGCAATACTAGATTTAGAGCTAATAGGAGCTAGAGACCCACACTATTCTCGACTGGAAACCAATGTAATATGGAGTATTTTGACAGTGTTGGTGCCAAAAGGACTGGCCACCCCAATATGGCATGCAATAGTGTTCATTTTGTCAACTAAACTTTGAGATTAGTCGACTAAAACAATTCAGATGACAAAAATACAAGAAACTAAAATGACTTTTTAGTCAAAAAACTATGACGAACTAAATTTGCCGCCAAAATTAACACTACTCAGAGGGACTGTGGAAGGGTCAAAAGAGACAGACCAGGGCTTGAGACAAACACCTAGAGGGGCTGGGAGAACACAATGAGAGGCAGGGGAAGGGGCAAAAGAGACAGACCAGGGTTTGGGGGGAGAGAGACAGCTAGAGGGGCTGGGAGAACACTGAGACACAGAGGGGCTGGGGCAAAAGAGACAGACCAGGGTTTGGGAGAGAGACACCTAGAGGGGCTGTGGAAGGGGCAAAAGAGACAGACCAGGGCTTGGGAGAGACACACGTAGAGGGGCTGGGGAAGGGGCAAAAGAGACAGACCAGGGCTTGAGACAGAGACACCTAGAGGGGCAGGGAGAACACAATGAGACACAGGGGGGGGCTGGGGAAGGGGCAAAAAAGACAGACCAGGGCTTGGGAGAGAGACACCTAGAGGGGCTGGGAGAACACAATGAGACACAGAGGAGCTGGGGAAGGGGCAAAAGAGACAGATAGAGGATTTAACAGAACCCATTAGATTTCAGTCGTGTCGACTAAACTCTATGGGGGAATTGGTCCACTGAAATTTACAGGAGATTTAGTCGACTAAAACGATTCAGATGGCTAAAAGACAAACTAAAATGGCTTTTTAGTCAAAAAGACTATGAATAAAACTGAATTGAAATTTGCTGCCAAAATGAACACTGGCAAGCAATAAAATAATGCCATCAAAACAATTACTAATATGAAGCAACGCATCAGATAAACCACATATACTCTGTTCTGCCTTTAGGGGTGTGGCTGTTCTGAGAAATAGGTGACTAATAATTTATGCAACTACAATGTAATTTAGAACAATGTATCTTATTACACAAACTGACTTCTAAACACATTTATTGTAGTTTAAAAGACACATCACTGGGAGTATCATTGCTGTGGAGCTCTGTTATGTCACTCAAACACACCAACAATGTGGAGCTACTAGAAGTGGGACATAAGAACAAAATAGAGACTACCCCTCCTGAATAAGGACACTTGGGCGATATGCCATCAGACCCAAAGGACTCAAAATTGACACACATTATTTCACTTGAATATGCTCTAGTCTGGCATATTCGCCCTTTACTAAATAACCCCCCAGTGACACTTGTAGATTCTTAAAATAAAATTTTCCAAAATAGTTCCTCTCCACAGCTACTACCCCTATAGAGAAAGGTTAAAGGGAAATCCGTTTGCCTGGCACTGCAGGTCCCCTCTTCCTCCCACCCCCCAATCCCTGGTTGCTGAAGGGGTGAAAACCCCTTCAGTGACTTACCAGAGGCGGCGACATGTCCCACGTCGCTGCTTCTCCCTCCGCCGCCGCTCCTCCTCTGTATTACGTCGGCCGGTGGGCGAGACTGATCCCGCCCGCCGGCCGGGGAGACCTAATGCCACGCATGCGCATTTTCAGAGCTTCCTATAGGAAAGCATTGAAAATGCTTTACAATGCTTTCCTATGGGGAATTGAGCGACGCTGGAGGTCGTCACACAGGTGAGGACGTCCAGCGACGCTCTAACACAGGTTTCCTGTGCTATAATCCAGGAAGTGCCCTCTAGTGACTGTCTAATAGCCTCTACAGGTGGAGTTAACCTTGCAAGGTAATTATTGCAGTTTATAAAATACTGCAATATTTACAGTTGCAGGGTTAAGGGTGGTGGGAGTTGGCACCCAGATCACTCCAATGGGCAGAGGTGGTCTGGGTGCCTGGAGTGTCCCTTTAAGTCTGGCCATTAGCCATGCTGGGAGCTATGCTGGCCTCTCTACTAATAACTACTAATAAATCAATGCTGTTGTCCTCATAGCGCCGCCCATCACCCCCTGTGTCCATTCCTGTCCCTCTCTGAGCTCTGTCTCACCTCACCTCCACGTGTCCAAGAACAACACACCTCACACTTCCTGGTTCTGTCAGTCCCCGCCCACAGCCTCCTGCCATTGGCCAGAACGCTCAGGAGGCGGTGCGGCCATTGGTCAGCGCTGTGAGTGACGTCATGCAGGAACACTCTGGAGCCAGACAGGTGGACTGCTGTTATTGTGCAGCAGATCCGCTCAGACCCGGAAGTGGAGCTGAACAATGGTAGTGGGTGAGCATCACATGACCTGCACCCATTACCTGTACACCCACTGTGCCTGGTCATCACACAGGGTCACCTGGCACAGCCTGGGCACACAATACCACTGAGTCACCCATAACTGGCTGTCACATTGGCTTTTACTGACTCTCTGCCAGGTAGCAGCTACCTGTGTGCTGGACATGGAGTCACAGTGATGGGAAAAGGCCATTCTGGTCCCTCATAGGAAGGTAGAGAGGATGAGAAGATCAGAAGAGCCACCCTGTCTGCTGGAGACAAGCACCAAGAAAAATGTCACCTGCAACCCCACAGCTTGGGCTGTGGCTGCTGACCACTGCCTTGTGTCTCACACACCTGCTGCAGGTAAGGTGATAACTTCTGGGAGATGATGATGGCATGGCCTTATGTCTGTGTACTAGCCTTGATCACATTTATTAAATAAAACTGGGGCAAAGTGATTTGTAATAGTAAAATAACAGTGCTGTACTCTTAAATAGGAATGCTTAGAAATGCCTTATTGGATACCATTGACTATAAAAATACATGTTAAAAAAAAGTTCTCTACAGTACATATTGTATTTTCTTCCCTGATTAAAAAAATAAATAAATCCTAGATGTGTTCCGTTATTATATATTTTGTTTTGTTTGAAACATTATTATTCTCAATTTGTAAAAGTATTATTGTATTACTTTTGCATGCATTGGAGTGGAGTGTACGGTAGCATTTAATAATGCCCAGTAAATTTATGTTAAAATGAAATATTTGTTATTACACTTTGCTGGCATTGTGCATAAATAGTTTAAACACTATTAAATCATATTGTACAGCACAGACCCTTCTTGCAGAGAAGGGGTTAATTACGTGTGTGTGTGAGTATATAGCTATGACTGTGTTGGATTATGGAAATGTTAACTCTTGCTGTAAAGACACAATAACCTGTTTCAAGATAAGATCAAAGACAAGGCTAACAGTTTGTGTGCCTCAAAAGAAAAGAATTGGGAAAAATAGCTGTGGGTTGCTATTTCAAACTAAAATTTTGTTATTCTTGTGTGAGTTCTCCACAATTGTCAGTGAAGAAACCCTCACAGTTTGCCAACAAGTAAACTACATGGCGCTGTCATTGTCTTTTATTACCTAGAATCTCAATTTTATAGCCAAAAAAAAGGTTTAATTTTTGCTGCCTCAGTGCTATAAATATTTTTAGGTGTAACAGTGTTAAAGGTAAACAAAACAAAAACACAACACAAAATCAGAAAGTTTTCTTGAACAGTAAATGTAATGCAACGTGTAAGATCACACAGAAACATGTTGCCTTATCTCTGTATCAGAGCAGATCCAGCAGTGATCCTACCAGAAGTGAATATTGTTGGGGTGCAGTCACAGAATAGGAGACAGAACCCCATCAGTAAGGCAATGTGCCTGGTTGAATTATACAACAAAAATTCGTTTTTTATTTGTACGTTAAAGAAACTCTATAGTAGGAGAAAATGGTGTTTGATTTACATTTTAAAAGGGGAAGTGTCAGATATTGTAAAGTATGCGATAAAGGTTACATACAGATTTTATGGTTCATTTTTCTCTTGTTTGTTTGTTCCTAATGAATTTGTCGGTTAATATCAAACTTCTGTTGTGTAAGACAGGCAGTATTTAAATCTGTATACTTCTGCCTGCTGTATAAGGGACTGTGGAAATGTAATACACATACATATTGGATGATAAACGTTCATATCACACCTAATTCCTTGGCAACTTTTAGAATGTAAGCTCTGCAGTATGTCAGATCTAGGCCTGAACAGGACCAAATGATGTCACACTTTCACGTACTGCAGTGTGACTGTGGTAACGCTTGGTCACCATACAGAGGACAATGGTAGATTTGACCTTGGCAATTTCTGGAAGGATGCTTTCTGTACTGGGTAAAAGAGTTTTGTGAGGCAGAGGGATTTGTTTAGTTGTTCGATGCCAGTTTTGGGAGACAATACAGTACTATTAAGTGTTTGGATCTACTTGAAGAGATGAGTGTAGCTTGAATTTGACAATGAGGTGGTATATGACGATGAAACTTGGAGGTGAAGGAGTTTGATGACCATGAAGTTGAGATTGGGGCTCAAAGTTGAAGAATGAGTAGTGGGATGTAGTTCAAAGCAAACAGTTATCTTAGAGTTGGGGCAGAAATATTCATTGTTGTTAGAAGCTGAACACTTAATTGTAATTGGAGATTGAGGCGTTTGAAAGTTCGCATGTGGCTTGGACTTGGAGGCTGAAGGATTATTATAGTGTGAGGCCCAGGAAGTGGATACAGTTAAAAGAGAGCATGTGGCTTGGAGGCTGACAAATGAATTGTATTTGGAGGCCAAGCTGTTGGATGTAGTTGACAGTGAGGCTGTGGCTTGGATTTGGAGGCTAAAGAGTTTATGGTAATTGGAGGCTGAAGCGTTGAATATAGTTGAAACACATGGTTTGTAGTTGGAGGCCTAGGAATTAATTGTAGTTAGAGGCTTAGGAGACGGATGTGTTTGTTCCTGATTAGTTGAATATAATTAAAGTTAAGCCTGTAGGATGAATTTGAAGGCTTAAATTCAGAGATTAACAGAATGTGCAAAATTCTCTAAACTACATTTCCCAATGGTGCCTCAAGCTACATATGTGACAACCATAGTTAACATGGCAAAGTAACATCATATAGACTGAGTACACCAAGTATCATCCATGAATTACTGATGATCAAAAAACAGTTTGAGACTGTGCTAATTATCCTGTATAGCACTATTTATTTATTCAGCTCTATCTATGAATCAAACTCCGGCCCTCCAGATGTTGCTGAACTGCAACTCCCATGATTCTATGAATGAAATAGGCAGGCAGAGAATCATGGTAGTTGTAGTTCAGCAACATCTGGAGGGCTGGGGTTTGGGGAAGCCTGCTTACTAGACCATAACTTGTTATGTTAGAAAATGTTTTGTTTTCAAAAATAATTGCTGGTTATAGGTAACTTTTCTTTTTTTCTCCCCCCTACAGAGGCTTGTGAATTAGATTTCCCTGATGCTGTCTGTCTGAATGTCCCATGATGCTCAGTCTGCCTGTGCTTCATGGGATTGAAGTTAACCAACATGTACATGTAATAGAACTCCTCACCTGTCTGCTTTCTGTGAAGCTGGAACGTGCTGGGGGCTTTATTATATTTTGCAGCGAGTGTGACAGCACCTGTGGGTCACAGGTTTAGTGAATGGTCCCACGGTATTTCTAGATAAGGCTTTCAGAGGCATAGAAATGGCTAACCAGATTACTCTTTCACAGAGAGAGAGAAAATACAAACTACATTATATTGTTTATTTTCTCAATTTCTTGGCATTTCAACCACAGTTATAACGTAGCCAGTTCTAAATTAACCCTTGCAGTGAACGTGACATTGAAAGTGTTTAGTTTAAAAATTAAATATTTATTTCCAGACAGCTGACAACTTGTTAAAGCACAACTGTTACTAGTATTTCAAGTACTCTTTGGTTGGCTGAGAGTGCTTGGAGTTCTAATCGGACAGTGCAGCAGTGTTTGACAGTCCAAGTGAGCAACATTACATTTAAATACAAGTAGGCCAGTCTGTGTGTCCTGCAACTCCCCCTCCCCCTTCCTTCTGTAAAGTATACCCTGTGTGGCCTGGGCCCGTGTGTTTGGGGTTGATCTGCATTGTTAACAGACGGTAACTATACAACCCGCCCATAGTGCAAACAATGTCTGGTGAAGCATACAAAACAGTACTGTCGTCTTCCTGAGACATAACTTTCCCTCCTTTTAATAAAACGCTGTTATCAATTTTCTTTTCGTTTTTTTTGCTTTATTTTGAAATCATGGACAGGGTTATTCACAAAAGTGAGAATTGTAATGTGAATAGTGAAATATAGGCTAAAGTAGTCAAGCTGTAACTATAGCCAACTTGGAGATTGTCCCCCCACCCCTCTGCCCCCAGTTCAGCTATTTCTGCAATTCAGAATTCAATTTGCAACATTTTGGAGGTTACCAAATAACCTTATTTGTATTTTTGATTCACTCTTGACTGGATAGCCCTATAAATAAACTGAGATTTCTTTTAATTTGTGGCAGAGATTTCCATGTTTCAGTCTATAGTTACAAGATCACATATTATGGGTGTATTACATTGTATTACGATACTTCCATCACAATACTGCTACATTGTATGTACAATGTATGTGGTGTAGAGTGCCTGCCTATTTTAAAGTGGATCTATCACTTTTCATTATTTTATAAAGATATAATCCTTATGAATTACCCATCCTTATTGTGTTGGAATTTAACTGAAATTCATTCCCATCCCAAAATACCGTAAGACAGAGAAGGAACTACTTTGTCTTCTGGACCAGCCTGAGATTGACAAAAAGCAAAGCCCCGTCCTCAGCTTTTGTCCAATCCCAGCAGCCGTCAAAAACAACGAATCTATGGGGGTATATACACACAAAAAAACAATCACTTAACCCCTAAATATAATAGGAAAGTGAGAAGAACCACTTATCTCAGTGGATAGTGATGACAGCTTCCTCCAGGGATATCCCAGCAATATATGTATACACTGGGAATCTATGGGGGCTCTGGTGGTCCTACAAATGAAAGTGACAGATCCTCTTTAAAGCGGCATTCTAATAATCAAAACAACTTTAGCATAAAGGGATACTGTAGGGAAGCTGTATTCCAGGCACTACCAATCCCTCGCGCCCCCTCCTACCAGGTTAATAAAGGGTTAAAAATCCTTTATTTACTTACCTGATCCCAGCACCGATGTACCCAACAATAAAACTCAGTGATGGCAACAAGGATCCTGAGACTTGTACTTCCAGCAGGAGAGTTATTTATTTGTGAAATTAAAAACACTCCAGCATTTAGAATGGGAATGGAAAATTTTAGGCTAAAAGGCTGGGAAATGAGATGGAGAATTTTAATCCACCCTGTGTGATGATATCACAGAGCTCCATAGCAATGGAAAATCAAACTAATGCACAGTGTGTATGAGTGTATCACAGAGCTCCACAGAAATGAAACTCACAGTAATGTTCAGTGTGTATAATTAGTCCACTGAGCTGCACAGCAATACAATTCACAGTAGCAAGCTTCATGTATGGTTACGTTATTATTCTAATTTATAGAGCACTAAAATATTCCGCAGTGCTGTATTACAGGGCGTCAGAAGAACAGAATTCACAGTAATCTGTATGGGTGTATCACAGAGCTCCACAGCAGTAATGTTTCACTGAGTACTGCAATTCTTCACTGGTCTATTTCATATTCTGACCCCCTTCTAAAAATATATATAATAAAGATACTCTTAAAATGTCCGTGTATATTTTTATGCTTTGGCTTCTGTGTTATTGCCTGTGAATTACTATAGTTCAGTCTCTTTTGTTTCAGTGTAATGCTGGGACCACTGTTTCACTCCCGGAATCTCTGCTCTTTGTGTCAACATTGGATGGGAGTCTTCATGCTGTCAGTAAGAAGAGTGGAGAAATAGTGTGGACTTTAAAAGATGGTAAGTAATTGCAAGTATTGGAATAAGAAATTCACAAAGTGTCATATTATTTTTACCAAGCACTAGACCTGGGTGACCATTCTCACACTCCTGCTCCTGCGCATAATAATTTTTCAAAAATGTTGTAGCATGGTTATACTGGGTATTATACTGAAATCAAAAACCTTAAAGTTGTCCTTCAACTAGTGACCTTTTATACTGTAAAAAAAATTGATAAACCTAACAATTTTTTGATTTAGCTTGCAAAATCGATCCCCTCTTTCTCAGGCACAAACTTCCAGTCTGTGTCAGGGAATGTTCCAGCCAGAGGCTTTTCATTGAGAATCCACTGTGCTGGAGCAGTATGCACATCTTTCCTATGCTTCTAAATGAGCTGGGATACATCTCATTGAAAAGGGGGAAGGCAGGCAGACAATTAATTTCGATCTGTGGAACTACTGGAAGCAGAAGAAAGCTTCCTCAGCCAGGGAGGTACTACTACCTTCAATTATTAAAAAGCCAATATCCATTTAATAAGCTATCACAAATATGATGAAGCTGAAGTGCTTTATGTGTGTAGAGCAGTCTTTTAATGAAATTGCTGTTAAAGTAGGAAAGTGGGGGAAGTGAAATGATTGTTGGCAAACACCAGTGAGATATCAACCCATTCATTATCAGCAGCCAACATAAAACCACAGCCTCTTATCTCATTTGGCTCCACACAAGACTGCCACGTTGGTCAAGTACCTAGTTTGCATTTAAATATTATAGTAGTATTATATATTGTTATATTTACAGAGGTGATTCGGGACTGAGAGAAGGTCTAGTTGTCCTATATTCAATCCCCTGTTACACCTATACCTTCCGGTCACCTCTAGTCCTCCTTAGTGAATCGTCGCTAACGTTATTGAGTAATGTCAGTTTTATTAATATATTGTATACTTAAATGTCTGTGGGCACTCAGTCATGAATATTTGATTGGAAGGGTGGATAAAGGTAATGCAAGTTAGAATCCCTTAGTTGGTAACCAACAGGTGAATATATCAGAAAAAAATAGACTTTAAGTGACAGTCCAGTAACACATGTTGGGTGCAATGTGTTGGCTGTGTATTTGCTAGTTATGCTAGGTGACATGTTTATTAAAGATGCACACCAAGCACGCTGTAGAGGTTATGGTACAAGGAGTGCATCATGAGTGGTCAAACCATTTAAGAACAGTTTTACACCATACTTGGGGTCCATCCTGCACCAGTTGCTCATCCTCTGCAGCCAGAAGCTCACTGCATTGAGCTAACACCTTCCATGCAGCCACTGACGCTCTCAACCAGTGAGCACTGCATTACTGCACTGCAATACTTAGTACAGGGGAGCTAATGGAAGCTCCTTGGAGGAGTTTACTTTTGAAGGGGAGGCAGCAGTGGGCACCAGGTGTACCAAGATAAGTTGTCAAACCACAGACCGTTCCTAAACAATTTGATCAGTTAGCCTGCAAAGGCGCCAGGGTGTGTGATTCTATAATCTTCTTTATTTATATAATGTGTTTCTCCATATTCCCATGCGTTCTACCCATCCTCCAATCTGCATTGTTTTAATTGATGGCTTTGGTTCCTGGGAGTTCTGGTTAAAATGTGTTGGCAATTGAAATTGAAGGCAAATCTCAGAAACCCTTTGTGTGTTCATAAAGCTACTTTCTTCTCTATCTGAATAATAACCAAGAAAGGTTTTTAAGTATAAAGAATAATTGTGGATCAAATATCTAAAAGTGGTGCAGTCAGCAGGCTTTCTGTGGTTAGTGCTCCACTCTTAAACTTTGAGACAGAATAAATCTTTCTAGATATGCTCCCATATGCCAATCATCAAATCACTCATTGCGATCTCCTGTTTCAAGTTTCTGTTAGCTCTTTACATTTGAGATATTTGTTTAGCCAAAGGAGTTCTTTTACTCTGATTCCCATAACTACCTTTAATTATAGGTCTGACTGCTAATTGCAGGGGATCCCACTTCACCTATTTTCAGCTTAATCTTGTTATAGGGCACGGCCCACATATTAGCCCGGCAAATCCACAAATTGCTGTGGACAAACTATTCTCATGATTCGTCCTTAACCCCTTACGGTCCATCATGTATTGTGATGGTCTGTGTGGGGGATTTGGATCATGGCGGCTGCTTTCTGCGAGGCTTATTCCTACAAATAAGTTGCTGATAAAATTATGATCAAGGCATCATGAGAAATCGAGCAATTAGCACAGGTTTGCAGATATTTTTATATATTCCCTCGCCCAATTCTGTCCGGTAACCAAACAGATTTAACCAGCATCTGAAATATCAAAATAAGATATATCTATATCAAACTTGGTACCCACTCCTACAACAGCCTGACGTTCCAAAGTGCAACATTGGCGACATTTCTAATTGCACATTTAATTAGATTTCTGGAGCACAGCGTGATGGTGATAGTGTATTGTGATTCACCAATCTGACCGACGGCAGGTATGGTGACCATATGTTTCCGTTTACTGGAGATTTTTACCCAACAGAAATATATTACATTTATTACTGGCCTGCAGATGGTGTCGTTTTAACTGTCCTCGCTAGATTTGGGCAAGTGACTTTATCTGTGTCTGTTACACATAGAAAGTTTAATCTTTTTCCTTTTCTTTTCTAGATCCGGTTATTCAGGTCCCGCTGTATGTGGCAGAGTAAGTACAGTATTTTATCTAAGCGATGTCTGGGCACAATTTGCTTAGATACATCTGTATTTGTGTGAAACCTGTTTTAAACAGACTTTCCGTGGTAACAGTAAACTTTGGCTTGCAGAGCATTGCAGCAGGGGCATTGCTAGGGGAGGGCGGACCTGGGCTGAAGCCCCATGTGGTCTCCTGAAAACGACCAGGTCTGATTTTACACCATTTCATTATTAGCCCAGTGTTTCCTGAAAATCTGCGATCGGATCTCAATTTGCTGACTTTCCAGTAACCCATTCTACTGGTCCTCTAAGTTGTGCAATTGCTAATGATTAATAATTTAACATAAATGAGGCAGAGTTTTAAATATTAAGAGTAGTATAGAGTGATATAGGTGATAAAACTTGCAGAGATGAGGGCACGTCCAGATAGCCAGAAGTAGGCAGGTCAGTAGATGCTGGTAATAGTGGGTAACAAGAAGATTGGATGGGCTGATGTGTGCAGGATGTTGTGGACTGGTCTGAAATGGGGTGGAGGCCTTGGAGGGATCTGACTTGTGAGGTAGGTAGCAGAGTATCCGTGTGTAGTAGTTATAGTAGTTGGCGTTAAACAGTGGATCATGGGAGTCAGAAATGGGCAGAGATGTCTGATGTGGTCAGGGGATCTATTTTTTGAAGTGGACAGAATAATCTTGGCGAGCGTGAGTTGTGTTCTCACAGGATACTCAATAACCTTATCTGTTAACATAATTATTTGTCTCATGTGAGCTGTTAAATTGTTACAATCATTTGTAAAGTGCTGCAATATATGTTTGCACTATACAAATCATGTTTGTAGAAGCAGTCTGAAGAATAGATGTGAAGCCGTGTACCGGTAAGAGGTCCCTTCTGAAGTTGTGATTTAGAGCTGATCAGCCGTAACTGTCTGTGGCCCCCTCAGCACCCTGTGATGTGTACACAGGGTGAATGCTAAAGAAATAGAAGAGGTGGCTTAACGCTAGTGGCACTGGGCAGCCTCAAATACATTTTAAATAGTTTAGTGAATGAGTGCTGTTTTAGGGGCTGGAAACACAATGATAAAGCACACGTATTATTTTCCCTAATTCTCATTTCACTGTTATGTATTTTTAATATTAGCAATAGTATTAATGTTTGCGTTCCTTTACATCTCCTGGTCGGCATGAGATTAGTGGAAGTTACACTCCGGGATTACCTAGAGTAAGGTAGATTGAAGGAGTTCTGAGGAGCGTGATACAGTGTGTCCTCAGTTTAATTTAAATAGTATGTTTATAGTGCACAGATCTTTATACAGAGGGTAAAAACATGGAATCCTCAGATTGTTACCCATTACTATATGTGAGGGGGTTCCATTGTATCTAGGTGATTTACCCATTACTATATGTGAAGGGGTTCCATTGTATCTAGGTGATTTACCCATTACTATATGAGAGGGGGTTCCATTGTATCCAGGTGATTTACCCATTACTATATACGAGGGTTCCATTGTATCTAGGTGATTTACCCATTACTATATGTGAGGGGGTTCCATTGTATCCAGGTGATTTACCCATTACTATATGCGAGGGTTCCATTGTATCTAGGTGATTTACCCATTACTATATGTGAGGGGGTTCCATTGTATCTAGGTGATTTACCCATTACTATATGTGAGGGGGTTCCATTGTATCCAGGTGATTTACCCATTACTATATGAGGGGGTTCCATTGTATCCAGGTGATTTACCCATTACTATATGAGGGGGTTCCATTGTATCCAGGTGATTTACCCATTACTATATGTGAGGGGGTTCCATTGTATCTAGGTCATTTACCCATTACTATACAGGGAGTGCAGAATTATTAGGCAAATGAGTATTTTGACCACATCACCCTTTTTTATGCATGTTGTTTTACTCCAAGCTGTATAGGCTCGAAAGCCTACTACCAATTAAGCATATTAGATGATGTGCATCTCTGTAATGAGAAGGGGTGTGGTCTAATGACATCAACACCCTATATCAGGTGTGCATAAGTATTAGGCAACTTCCTTTCCTTTGGCAAAATGGGTCAAAAGAAGGACTTGACAGGCTCAGAAAAGTCAAAAATAGTGAGATATCTTGCAGAGGGATGCAGCACTCTTAAAATTGCAAAGCTTCTGAAGGGTGATCATCGAACAATCAAGCGTTTCATTCAAAATAGTCAACGGGGTCGCAAGAAGCGTGTGGAAAAACCAAGGCGCAAAATAACTGCCCATGAACTGAGAAAAGTCAAGCGTGCAGCTGCCACGATGCCACTTGCCACCAGTTTGGCCATATTTCAGAGCTGCAACATCACTGGAGTGCCCAAAAGCACAAGGTGTGCAATACTCAGAGACATGGCCAAGGTAAGAAAGGCTGAAAGGCGACCACCACTGAACAAGACACACAAGCTGAAACGTCAAGACTGGGCCAAGAAATATCTCAAGACTGATTTTTCTAAGGTTTTATGGACTGATGAAATGAGAGTGAGTCTTGATGGGCCAGATGGATGGGCCCGTGGCTGGATTGGTAAAGGGCAGAGAGCTCCAGTCCGACTCAGACGCCAGCAAGGTGGAGTACTGGTTTGGGCTGGTATCATCAAAGATGAGCTTGTGGGGCCTTTTCGGGTGGAGGATGGAGTCAAGCTCAACTCCCAGTCCTACTGCCAGTTCCTGGAAGACACCTTCTTCAAGCGGTGGTACAGGAAGAAGTCTGCATCCTTCAAGAAAAACATGATTTTCATGCAGGACAATGCTCCATCACACGCGTCCAAGTACTCCACAGCGTGGCTGGCAAGAAAGGGTATAAAAGAAATCTAATGACATGGCCTCCTTGTTCACCTGATCTGAACCCCATTGAGAACCTGTGGTCCATCATCAAATGTGAGATTTACAAGGAGGGAAAACAGTACACCTCTCTGAACAGTGTCTGGGAGGCTGTGGTTGCTGCTGCGCGCAATGTTGATGGTGAACAGATCAAAACACTGACAGAATCCATGGATGGCAGGCTTTTTGAGTGTCCTTGCAAAGAAAGGTGGCTATATTGGTCACTGATTTGTTTTTGTTTTGTTTTTGAATGTCAGAAATGTATATTTGTGAATGTTGAGATGTTATATTGGTTTCACTGGTAATAATAAATAATTGAAATGGGTATATATTTGTTTTTGTTAAGTTGCCTAATAATTATGCACAGTAATAGTCACCTGCACACACAGATATCCCCCTAACATAGCTATAACTAAAAACAAACTAAAAACTACTTCCAAAAATATTCAGCTTTGATATTAATGAGTTTTTTGGGTTCATTGAGAACATGGTTGTTGTTCAATAATAAAATTAATCCTCAAAAATACAACTTGCCTAATAATTCTGCACTCCCTGTATGTGAGGGGGTTCCATTGTATCCAGGTGATTTACCCATTACTATATGCGAGGGTTCCATTGTATCTAGGTGATTTACCCATTACTATATGAGAGGGTTCCATTGTATCCAGGTGATTTACCCATTACTATATGAGAGGGTTCCATTGTATCTAGGTGATTTACCCATTACTATATGAGAGGGGGTTCCATTGTATCTAGGTGATTTACCCATTACTATATGTGAGGGTTCCATTGTATCCAGGTGATTTACCCATTACTATGTGAGAGGGTTCCATTGTATCCAGGTGATTTACCCATTACTATATGTGAGGGGGTTCCATTGTATCCAGGTGATTTACCCATTACTATATGCGACGGTTCCATTGTATCCAGGTGATTTACCCATTACTATATGAGAGGGTTCCATTGTATCTAGGTGATTTACCCATTACTATATGTGAGGGGATTCCATTGTATCTAGGTGATTTACCCATTACTATATGTGAGGGGGTTCCATTGTATCTAGGTGATTTACCCATTACTATATGCGACGGTTCCATTGTATCCAGGTGATTTACCCATTACTATATGAGAGGGGGTTCCATTGTATCTAGGTGATTTACCCATTACTATATGTGAGGGGATTCCATTGTATCTAGGTGATTTACCCATTACTATATGTGAGGGGGTTCCATTGTATCCAGGTGATTTACCCATTACTATATGAGGGGGTACCATTGTATCCAGGTGATTTACCCATTACTATATGAGAGGGGGTTCCGTTGTATCTAGGTGATTTACCCATTACTATATGAGGGGGTTCCATTGTATCTAGGTGATTTACCCATTACTATATGAGAGGGGGTTCCGTTGTATCTAGGTGATTTACCCATTACTATATGAGGGGGTTCCATTGTATCCAGGTGATTTACCCATTACTATATGAGGGGGTTCCATTGTATCTAGGTCATTTACCCATTACTATATGTGAGGGGGTTCCATTGTATCCAGGTGATTTACCCATTACTATATGTGAGGGTTCCATTGTATCCAGTGTGATTGATTTACCCATTACTATATGCGAGGGTTCCATTGTATCTAGGTGATTTACCCATTACTATATGTGAGGGGGTTCCATTGTATCCAGGTGATTTACCCATTACTATATGTGACGGTTCCATTGTATCCAGGTGATTTACCCTTTACTATATGAGAGGGTTCCATTGTATCCAGGTGATTTACCCATTACTATATGAGAGGGTTCCATTGTATCTAGGTGATTTACCCATTACTATATGAGAGGGTTCCATTGTATCTAGGTGATTTACCCATTACTATATGTGAGGGTTCCATTGTATCCAGGTGATTTACCCATTACTATATGTGAGGGGGTTCCGTTGTATCCAGGTGATTTACCCATTACTATATGAGGGGGTTCCATTGTATCCAGGTGATTTACCCATTACTATATGTGAGGGGGTTCCATTGTATCCAGGTGAGTTACCCATTACTATATGTGAGGGTTCCATTGTATCCAGGTGATTTACCCATTACTATATGCGAGGGTTCCATTGTATCCAGGTGATTTACCCATTACTATATGCGAGGGTTCCATTGTATCTAGGTGATTTACCCATTACTATATGCGAGGGTTCCATTGTATCTAGGTGATTTACCCATTACTATATGAGGGGGTTCCATTGTATCCAGGTGATTTACCCATTACTATATGTGAGGGGGTTCCATTGTATCCAGGTGATTTACCCATTACTATATGCGACGGTTCCATTGTATCCAGGTGATTTACCCATTACTATATGAGAGGGTTCCATTGTATCCAGGTGATTTACCCATTACTATATGCGACGGTTCCATTGTATCCAGGTGATTTACTCATTACTATATGAGAGGGGGTTCCATTGTATCTAGGTGATTTACCCATTACTATATGTGAGGGGGTTCCATTGTATCCAGGTGATTTACCCATTACTATATGAGAGGGGGTTCCGTTGTATCTAGGTGATTTACCCATTACTATATGAGGGGGTTCCATTGTATCTAGGTGATTTACCCATTACTATATGAGGGGGTTCCATTGTATCCAGGTGATTTACCCATTACTATATGCGAGGGGGTTCCATTGTATTTAGGTGATTTACCCATTACTATATGCGAGGGTTCCATTGTATCCAGGTGATTTACCCATTACTATATGCGAGGGTTCCATTGTATCCAGGTGATTTACCCATTACTATATGCGAGGCTTCCGTTGTATCCAGGTGATTTACCCATTACTATATGCGAGGGTTCCATTGTATCCAGGTGATTTACCCATTACTATATGAGGGGGTTCCATTGTATCCAGGTGATTTACCCATTACTATATGTGAGGGGGTTCCATTGTATCCAGGTGATTTACCCATTACTATATGTGAGGGGGTTCCATTGTATCTAGGTGATTTACCCATTACTATATGAGGGGGTTCCATTGTGTCCAGAATGCTGACTCTGCGCTCTTTTTCCTCAGACCAGCTTTCCTGCCAGATCCCAGTGATGGCAGCTTGTACATCCTGGGAGGAAGGAATAAAGAAGGGCTCATGGTGAGTTATGGACCATTAAATCCAATATGTCATGTTGTTCATCCTTATTGCCTCCTGCAGCCTCTGTTGCCCTTGTTTGTCCAGAGGATCCTCCAGCTCTTGTTCTGCAGGGCACAGGGGTCCCAAACACAGGGGATCCTGGGCTTTGCAGTTATCTTGTAGTGTGTGATTAGGCGGCTTTGCAAGTACCCACTACACTCCCTGTGTGTCTGCATGTATTGTATTGTCTAAAATCCCCATTCTCTTTATCCTGGCCTCCGCAGTGGGCTGTCTGTATTTCTGATCCCTGGAGTGTCCCTTCGTTCTTGATTTATGCTACCTATCTGATTTTGGGTCAGGATTGAGCTTGCCTTGCTGATCTTTTCGATTTGTTTGATTTCTTTCTTTTCATACCTTTTCCTCTTCTGCTTTCTGGAGGACTGTCTCCATTCCCAATTCTACATTAGGTGGGTCCACCATCGATATGTGCTTCTCTTATAGACATGAGCAAAAATTTATTTCATCCATAAAATAATCAAATTCCTTTTTAATCCAGATTCTCATTAATCGTTCTGTCTAGAAAATAATTGCGTAAATCAACTGGTTTTGTATTCTCAGTATAAATATAGACACTGATAAAGTATTTCCGTTTTCAATAAATACTCTGCATACCACAACCCCTACAGCCTTTGGCAGAGGTATGATGCAAAGATGGTTTCAGCACCTTTTTATTGTGTCGTTTTACAAACAAAGGGGCTCTTTCACACCTAAAGCCCCCATTACACTGTGGTTGTACTGTCCAGCTCTCGCCAGTCATGACGGTCTTAGAGAACTTGGAGTTTAGTTATAATGGCGTGCTCAGCCCATCGTTACCGTCTAAGGACAGACAGCTAGCACGGAGGCTTACTTCTGTATTATCCAAACATCAGAAGAAAAAAAACAAGCTGTAGGTGCAGAAAACTCTAGATTTAAAAAAATAAAAAATAATTTTGGTTAATAAGCTTCAAAATTGTTTGTGATAAACTGTGGAGACAGCGCCCAAAGACTCTTTATACCATAATCTATACAGTGAACTGCGGTGGTTTGGGTGCGTAGAGTGAACTTTTCACTTTAGTTTCTGAAAACTTTCTAAAATATACATTGACTTTTTTTTATTTTTTTATTTTGGCACATGGCTGTGTAGTTATCAGTGAAAGTCATCCAAGATCTTACACTTTGTGGCAACATTCTTGTCCACATTCTGTAAACTTAGGTGTGTGTGTGTGTACAGACATTTATGCAGACAAATTCATTTCACTCTCTCATGTTCCCTAGAAATTGCCATTCACCATCCCAGAGCTGGTCCAGTCATCTCCGTGTCGAAGCTCCGATGGAATTCTATATACAGGTAGCCACACCGGGGTGTGAGTGTAATTTTATATACAACTTTCTTATAAAATGGACCATACTGCTAGCTAAACTTCACAATATGTGATTTCAATCAAAAACACAAATATCCACATTATATAAAAATTCACTGTGTTCTTAAAGGACAATAAAATGTGAACGTAATTGTGGCTTTAGCTATTCTGTTTAAAATATGCAATGAATGGACACTCTGGACCCCTAAAGCACTTTAGCTTACTGCGGTGCTTGATGTGTGAAGCGTTTGTCCTATTTTTTTCACTTCACAAATAGTGCATATATCAATAGAAAATGACAATTTTATAAATTAACCTTGTTACACCCTTCTAGCTGTCAGTCAGACAACCAGTTCTCTTACTTCCTGGTTTGGTTAGCTTAGTGGAGATAAACTCAAGAGGCAGCAATTGCTCAGAGAACCTATGTTGCAAAGACTTCTCATTGAGCTGCATTGTAATTGGACAGTCACAGAAAGTCTGGATGTGGTTAGAAGGGTAGGGCTTGCAAAGGCTGCAGACAAGAAATCTGCAGCTTTTGCAATCTGTTTTCAGATATACCCCCAATACAAAAAAGTGCCTTATTAAATGTGTGAATGGTTTTTATCATAGTATATCTACTAAATACTATATTTTTTTCTTTGGTGAAGGAGTATTGGGTGTCTCTTTAAGGGCTTGTTTTTTTCTATTTTATTTAGTTTTTCCTGTAAATAGGAGACCTCTCTATGCTTTTCTATATAAAGAAGCGGCATTACATATACCCCATAAATAGTTGGCTCAGGACCTATGAATAAAATATCAGATAATTTGGATTCTTAAAGGACCACTATAGTGCCAGGAAAACATACTCGTTTTCCTGGCACTATAGTGCCCTGAGGGTGCCCCCACCCTCAGGGTCCCCCTCCCGCCCGGCTCTAGGGAGAGGAAAGGGTTAAAACTTACCTTTTCTCCAGCACCGGGCGGGGAGCTCTCCGCCTCCGATCCTCCTCCTCTCCTCCCTTTCGGCTGAATGCGCACGCGCGGCAAGAGCTGCTCGCGCATTCAGCCGGTCTCATAGGAAAGCATTTATAATGCTTTCCTATGGACACTTGCGTATTCCCACTGTGATTTTCACAGTGAGAATCACGCAAGCTCCTCTAGCGGCTGTCAATGAGACAGCCGCTAGAGGCTTTGAGGGCTGGATTAACCTATTTATAAACATAGCACTTTCTCTGAAACTGCTATGTTTATAAAAAAAAAAAAAGCGTTAATCCTAGAGGGACCTGGCACCCAGACCACTTCATTAAGCTGAAGTGGTCTGGGTGCCCAGAGTGGTCCTTTAATCTACATCAGTTGTCATGGAAACAAATGGAATGTTCATGTTAAATGCTCCAAATTTACAAATGTCACCAGGACTGCTCTTTACACCTATCATCCATTGTTTCTGGCTTGTGGACAATAAACTGAATAGATGCAAATACCATTAACCTCAAAGTGGTGACAGCAGTAGCTCTGCTTTTGAGCATTTAGAAAATCTTGTTAGTTCTCCCTACAGTTGACTTACTCTGGTAATTCTCTTGGGCAGGCAAGAAGCAGGACTCATGGTTTGTTGTGGATCCCAAATCAGGAGAGAAGCAGACAACTCTATCCACTGAGTCTTCAGACGGCCTGTGTCCGTCCTCGCCGCTCCTGTACATCGGACGCACGCGTGAGTTATGTTGCACATTATTTAACATACTTGTTGTATTAGCTGGGAGTAGAATGAAGCAGGATACTAGATCCCAATATCATATCATGCCTATCGGTCGGTAAGAGATTATGTCTATATGACCTTGCCTGATTTAGTTGAGTTGTTATATGGTCCCAATGCAGTATGTCACTCTACGTGACGATCACTGATTTGTCTGTACTGTTCTGTGTTATTGTCTTTAGTATATATCTTAATAAGATATTCTACTTTGTGCAACTTGCTTCTTTTCCAAAGGACTCCAAAAAAAGTCTTCTTGACTGAGTTAATTCAACAGTTGGTTTTATAATTTTATAACTCATTTGTTTAACTTATGTTGTTTAAGTATTTTTACTATTTATATAGCGCCAACAGAACATGTACGCTGTGCAGTACAACTCAAATATAGAATAAAACATGTAAGCTAATCAGGACATGCTAAGATTAACAGCAGGAGGTGGGATTGAGCGCCCTGCTCAAATAAGTTTACAAGGATCTAGCTGAACTATGTTCATTGCGACAATATTGCTGTAAAAAGAAAGAGTTGTCAGCGTGACTTGCTGTGTCTGACCGAGCTCTGTTGTCTTCTCCAGAGTACATGATCACAATGTATGACACAAAGTCACGCGAACTGCGCTGGAATGCCACTTACCTCGACTACTCTGCACCCTTTTGTGATGAGAGCTATGAATACAGTAAGTACTTCTGGGTAAGAAGAGAATTTGGGGGTAGATAAGCAAAGAGTTGATTATTAGAGGGTGGGATATTTTTTTTTCTCTAAACAGTGTCTTGTAGTGAATTGAAATTGCAAAAACTTGTGCGAAAGCTGATTTGGAGTAATTGTGATAATCTGCAGTTTTTCCAACTGTTTTGTTTGTGCAGTTTAATAGCACCTTGTTGTCTACACAGAGATGGCGCACTTTGCATCCACCGGGGATGGTATGCTGGTTACAGCTGATAAAGTCAGTGGGGAGGTGCTGTGGATGCAGAACTATGGCTCTCCAGTTGTCGGACTCTTCCTTTGGCACCAGGACAGCTTGCGGCGTATTCCGCACCTCAATGTTGCCATGGAAACCCTGCGCTACTTGACTTTCAACTCTCATGACATCCGGCTCATCAAATGGAACTATCAAGCTGTGCAAGACCTCAGCAGCACCAAGACGCACTTATTGTAAGTGAACGTTCCATTCACAGTGACATGGAATGCAACCCGCCAACGCGTTTTACTATAATGAAATCAGTTCCTTACAGGCATAACATGCATTACCTCTATTTACCAAAAATATTTTTTTTTTAAAAAGGAATGCTATTGGTTTAGTTTTTTTGTTTTGTTTTTTTTTTTAATATAAATTACATTATCATCTTAATCTGGGGATAGTGTGGCTAAAGAGAAGGGTATATGGTGCGTCATTCTGCAAAAAAAGTTTTATGCAAAACCTATAAAGATTTGACTATGCAAACTTACGCTCGCTCCCTTCCTATGGAATAGCCCGCCTATCGCCATCAGACTCTCCCCTAGTCTTCAATTGTTTAAGAAGTGCATTAAAACCCATCTCTTTAGGAAAGCTTATGGCCTCCCAGACTAACCTCTACCTCACATACCTGTCTCTTGCTCTCTCCTAAAGGACAGCACTCTACTCTCTCCTCCAGCTCTGCTTCACTCCCACCTTACTTGATTGATATTTTCTGACCTAATGTGTTTTATACCCCACCTCCTATAGACTGTAAGCTTGTTTGAGCAGGGTCCTCTTCAACCTATCGTTCCTGTAAGTTTTCTTGTAATTGTCCTATTTATAGTTAAATCCCACCTCTCATAATATTGTAAAGCGATACGGAATCTGTTGGCGCTATATAAATGGCAATAATAATAATAATGACTTATTTTATTTTAAGTGGCATTGGAATGTAATAAACTGTATTTGTTTGCATAAGCACCGCTAACCTTTTTAGTATTTCTTATACCTGCTACGTAATAGTGATCCACTGCTACGCTTGGATCTGTCTGCAACCCTTGTAATAGCTCTAAACAGTCTATTTGGAGTGGTAAAAATTTTGATTATTTTTTTTCTTCTATTGCTTGGACGCAGGCCATCGGTTTATGTGGGTAAACAAGCGTCAGGTTTTTATGCATCCACTTCTTTGATCCACGAGGGAGTCGCTGTTGTGGTGAGACCAATACTTCTTACCTCTATTCATTTCGGGGTTTTTTTGGTTACTGATATATATTTGTTTTTTTAAATAAAATTTCAAGTGCTTATGAAAAGTGTAATAAAGATAAAAAAAAAATGTTTTAAAATCCATATAGAAATCTAAGAGCAGGTGCCTGCTGGGTAATGTTGTGTAAGAATCAATGTGTCTAAAAGCTGAACTATTTAAAGATATGTTAAAGGGACACCTTGAGCACCCAAACACTACATCTTAAAGGGGCATTCTAAACACCAAATCAACTTTAGTTAAATTAAGCCGTGTTGGTGTATAGACCATGCCCCTGCAGTCTCGCTGCTCAGTTCTCTGCCATTTAGGAGTTAGATCACTTTGTTTATGGTTTTGGTGCATAGATGTTGTCGCCTTCGTCTGGCAATGTAAAGTATTGCTCTTTCTGAAAAACAGCATTGTTTACATATTACAGCCAGCCACTAGAGCCGTTCCCCCTGAAGACCATCGATTTCTCGATGAGGTCTTCACGTTTGGCATCATCAAGCACAGCATTTTGGATCCTGCTTGACTTTTGAATTTTGGATTTCAATTCACTACAGTTTGCTCTTTGTTGCTTTACAAACACTTTACATTTTGCACATACTCTCTAATCTGTAATTTCAAAGTGTCCTATAAATATGGCAGACATTGCATCCTGTCCAAAACTTGGAATATTTTTTCCCGCTTAGCCACGAGGGATTACCTTGGTCCAAGTGGAAGGGCCCACCACAAATGACGTCACCCTGAAGGAGTCCAGAGAGTTTGGTGTGACACCCAGCACAGATGTCAAGTATGCACAAGGGAGCATAGTGTCTGCTCACCAGTGGCTGTTGATAGGTAAAGGGGTTTTATATTGGTCATATTATTCCTTTTTAATTCGTCTGTATATCTAAGATGCAGGGGAGGAACTAATGTAGAGAGGGTTGTTTTGCAAGAAATATTTTGGGCCCTCCTCTATCTCAAGAGTGGCAAAAAGATCGACCCTCAACTGTTGCAAAACCCCCATAATGCTTTGCCAGCTGGAGATCGATCATTTCTTCAATGCAGGGTTGTATGTGTGAGCATTGTTTGTAAGTTTGAAGGTAAACATGTATGCGTTTGGAATGTGTGTGTAAATACATGGATGTATTGTAGTGTAGAGTTGTATTTGAATGCAGGGTGTATTTGAGGGTAGTATTGGCGTTTGAACTCAGGGGTGTATTTGTGTGTAGTCACGGCTAGACGTGTGCACAAATCCCGTTTAGCTGTCCTGAATGAATCAAATGCCTCTCAATCCATGGACGAACAAATCTGTTTGTTATGAAAAGCTGAATTAATCAATTAGTTTGTTCATAGACTGACAGGCATTTAATTTGTTCAGCACAGTCTAGGCTTGATGTCTGGATTCGGGGGCATAATCACCTATAGCACATACATTGACACACATGTGACACGAATACATACACACAGATATACCTATACATATATACACATACACACAAAGAAATAAGTCACAAAATGCATATTTGAGCCACCCTCCTATCTTAATAACTTGGGCTTTCCAAAGAACCTAAAGGAATTGATAATGATAAAGGCATGTTTTTTTTATTTATATATATATATATATATATATATATATATATCACACACTTATTAGTTCTTAGCATTTTATATAAAAACATTTTTAATTGCAAAAAAACTGGAGGAACACTGCGATGACTCCCCACATGGACTATCCTCCAATGAAGGGCAGCCAACTAAAGTTTCAGTAGTAGCTGTGATCTGTCCTGCATTGTAAACTAGCAATGGCATACTCCCAGCTACGGTCAGATGTACAGCGCTGCGGAGTATGTTTTTTTTTGTTTTTTTTTTGTAAGCATAATTATAATTGCTGATGGGAATCTGTGCTGTAACCACAAAGAATCGTAAAATGTCTTCAGCAAATCTTTGGGCATCCAATGCATTAAATTATTTGCTTACCCTATAGGTCACCATGAGTTGCCTCCTGTTGTTCACACCACAATGCTGAGAGCGTTTCCTGAGACCTTGCGGAGGGACACAGAAACAATCATTCGTGGCCCTGTGCCACGGACACTCTTTGATGATGTAAGCAAAGCGATCAGGTGCCAAACACAAATGGTTACAAATCTAAGAGTTTGTAGAGGAAATAGCATTCAAAATCTATTGGGTGTACAGGTGATGTTTCCCAACAAGTTTGCAATTAGAATAAAAACATTAAAAAGACCCTCACAATTGAAGTTCCTGCATTGTGCTGTATATTACAAGACTTTGCAGCTTCTGTAATGAGCCCTGCTGGGGTCAGGAAGAAAGTCCAGCTAATTCAGTGCTAAGCTGTTCAAATAAATCCCTACCCAGCAGTGCTTTATGGATACAACAAGAGGGACTGGGATTTGTAGTTCAATTGTCCACTTTCTGCTTTTCAAGGCTGACAGCTGAACTACAAATCCCAGAACCTCTTCCTGTGCAGCCTCAGGGGATTACAATTCTTGTATGGACATGCGGAGGTAGGGGAGCATATTGCTATGAACCAAAGTTATGGTGCTTGAAGTGTCCCTTTAACTGTTTAGTGGTGGATCACTCTCTTAAAAGTGGGTATGCCTAAAACAGTGACTAGAGCTTGTACCAGCATTCATACTACAGCGGTCCCATACCCAGCAACTATTATCCACAACAGAAAATATTACATGCTAAAGGAATGCTCAATATGATAAAGCAAAATTTGGATCAACTAAACAAACTTAAGGGGCAAAATGCAGACACCTCGCATCACTGTAATGATTGATGAAATCTGGAAGTTGTTCCTAGTCTGTAGCATCATCGTGCCTCGCAGGACCACCCACCACTATGAAAATGGGTGTCTAGATCCGATATGATACCGCTCCTGCTATTGCGGGATACAATTACAATGATGCTTTGCCAATATCCACCATAAGACTTCTAGTTAGAGGCTGGTGGAGTATTATGGGAGTTGGGGGAGCAAAATTTTGTATACCCCATTCGAGGAAGTTGACTTGTGCGTCTTGCAGTATATTCATCTCCAATTGCAGATTGATTACTTACTATCTGTTCTGTCTCTGACATTCTTCAGTTCACGACCCCCCAAAATCAAGCCGAGTTCTCTCAAGATGACGTGGAGGGTCGTTTGAAGTCGGACTCTAGCAAAGTAGAAACAAGCAATGTGCTACTCGAGTCTTCAATGTCCAGCATGCTCACTGCGGTCATCATAGCATTGCTGGTTGGAGGATGGGTGCTATTTGCACTAACATACCCCAGGGTAAGTGGATATACAGCTGTATAAGCGGTTTGTTTGAAAATATAGCAAGGTGCATGTTGAGCATTGTAAAATCTCTGTTTCTTCTTCTGTGTCTTTCTCCAGTTGATTGAGATAGAGATATATATATGTTACAGGATAATGGACGTTCAACAGCAGATGGTAATTGCTGGACTCCTGAAGGGAGAGTTACATCGTTGTACAGGAATAAGAGCCGAGAGAGAGAGACCTTGTGTCCCTTTAAGTTACTATATAGATGTTCCCATACTGACGTCAGAGTATAACTCTAGCCATATAAAGACAAAACCCCCAACCCACATTCCAGAATTCTCATACAAGAAAACCTTGTGACTTATACCATCTAGAGTTGAGCAGACACTGTAAAAAAACAACTATCGCACCCCTGCGCGGTGAGTGGGGGCCATAAATAAGAATTTGGGGGGGGCCTACCCCTGAGTGGTGGGGGCCATAAATAAAAAATGTCCTCCCCCCCCCACCCCTGCGCGGCGGGTGGAGGCCCTAAATAACAATAAGGGAGGGGGACCTAATGTGCTCCCCCCGGGCCCCCACCCCTGTGAGGCGGGTGGGGGCCCTAAATAACAATAAAGGGGGACCTAATGTCCTCCCCCCCCCCCGGCCCCCACCCCAGCGCACCGGATGGGGGCCCTAAATAAAAATTCCCCTCCCCCAGGTGACAAGGGGTCCCCAAACCCCTAATTACCCCCCTTCCCCCAAAAAAAATTACCCCTACCTACCTTCCTCATCCTAAAAATAATGGGGGGGAAAAAAATAGCCTTCCATTTGATGTCTTCTTTCTTCTAAAATCTTCTTTTTTCAGCCCCAAAAAAGGCCAAATAAAAATCCAGAATAACCGACACACTTTAAAAAACAAACAAACAAACAAACAAAAAAAACGAGCACAAATAAAAAAAAAAAAATCCTTCTTCACCCATGGAGGGCTCCGCAGACTGAGCTCTGCAGGGTTGGGAAGGCTTATAAAGCCTTGCCCCGCCCTGCAGTTATGCTCAGAGCACTCTGATTGGTGGGTTTAAGCCATTCAATCAGAGTGCTCTGACAGGTAAATGAAGAGACTGACAGGTAAGTCTCTCTACATTTACCTGTCACAGCACTCTGATTGGTTGGATTGAAATCCACCAATCAGAGTGCACTGTGTCATTTAACACAGCGTGGGAAAGTTCTTTGGAATTTTCCCATGCTGTGTAAAATGACACAGAGCACTCTGGTGGATTTCAAGCCAACCAATCAGAGTGCTGTGACAGGTAAATGTAGAGACTTACCTGTCCGTCCCTTCATTTACCTGTCAGAGCACTCTGATTGGATGGCTTAAACCCACCAATCAGAGTGCTCTGAGCCTAATTGTAGGACGGGGCAAGGCTTTATAAGCCTTCCCAACCCTGCAGAGCTCAGTCTGCGCGGAGCCCTCCATGGGTGAAGAAGGATTTTTTATTTTTTTTTTGTAAAGTGCGTAGGTTATTCTGGATTTTTATTTGGCCTTTTTTGGGGCTGGAAAAAGAAGATTTTAGAAGAAAGAAGACATCAAATGGTAAGTCTATTTTTTTTTTACAGGTATTTAGACAAGGGTCCCCCCTTATTTGTTTTAGGATGAGGGGGTAGGTAAGGGTAATTTTTTTGGGGAGGAGGGTGTGACTAGGGGTTTGGGGACCCCTAGTCACCTGGGGGGGGGATTTTTATTTATGGCCCACACCCACCGCTTGGTGGGGGGGGGATGGGGGGCAGAGGACATTAGGTCCCCCCCTTATTGTTATTTAGGGCCCCCACCCGCCGCGGAGGGGTGGGGGCCGGGGGGGGAGGACGTTAGGTCCCCTCCCCCAATTTTTATTTATGGCCCCCATCAACCGCTCAGGGGGGAGGACATTAGGCCCCCCCCCCTTATTGTTATTTAGGGCTGCCGCACAGAGGTGGGAGCCGGGGCAGAGGACAGTAGGTCCCCCCTTTATTGTTATTTAGGGCCCCCATCCGCCGCACAGGTGTGGGGGAGAGGAGGACGACAATAGGTCCCCTTTTAGTTAAAAAGCCCCCACTCGCGCGTCGTGGGTAGGGGCTCAGGAGGGGGGAATTTTTTTTTTTTTTTTAAACAGTGAGTAGCCATAGGCTGCTCACTGTTTAATAGACAAGCCCCTACTCGCGGTGTAGCGAGTAGGGGCATCATTTACTAATACTAAGTGACCAGCTTTTATAGAGGCTGGGTCACATGCTGCACTGGCCAATCACAGCCATGCCATTACTAGGCATGGCTGTGATGACTTCTAACGGCACAGGAGTCAAAAACTTGTTGATTGGCTTCCCTGCAGCCTTTCAAAATACGTCATTAAATCGCCGAACTCCTCTCCAAACATACATTGATATGTCCGTGTTCGGGTCCGGGGTCCAAAAAACTTAATTTTCGGGTTTGCTCAACTCTAATACCATCTGTTACTTATGTCAATCCACACATCCATAAATAATCGATAGAAACATAGAATATGCAATATTCTACAAGCATTAATGATTCCAGATCCGATTCATGTGTATGACTTATCTTGGGGTGCACAGTGATGCAAATAAATTGAAAAGTTTCTCCTATAATTCATAGCCACTGTTAAACATGTTTTGTACCTTAGTAGCAGTTAGTCATACATTTCACGTGAAAAACCCTTATCTCACAAATTAAAACACTGAAAAGGGCTGGGGGGGAATTGACATATTAACCCATGCTCGTCTGGATCTGCCCATGGGGAGGAATAAAAAAACCTTCTATCCTGGGGAAACGGTGAACACTTTAAATCTCATCGGTACCTTAAACTTCAGATTTGTATTTGGGGTGGTAAGGTTATACAAGCTATCCTGTCAGTATGACTCTACTCATCATTATATTGCAGTTTGGAACTCTGAAATTTTACAGCTCTGGGAAAATTGTTGGGCGTTACAGTAACATTAAATTATGTTCATTAAACCAAACTTTAGGTTATCAAAAATATAAAGTAAATACTTTTTTTGTGTTTAGTACATTACCTACAGGTGTGTTCTTGCATTAGGTACGGTAAAGGGAACTGCATTTGGCCATTCCCACTGATTGATCATGGCAAGGATGCTTCATGGCATCTGCAAACTGTGGTTGCAGATACTGACCTCTGTGTCTGTTACATTCTAAACGAAAACAAAGCAGTAGAAATTGGTTAAATCGCTGGTCAGAAAATGAGTGAGAAAAAAATAATCAGTGGCATTTGGAAACTCAGACAGAAAATGTATGGAATTAACTGTCGATATATGTGGTCTTGGTGCCTAGAACATTTCCTATGTCTGTTTCAGATGCAAGAGCAAAATCGCCGGCAGCAGCAAGAGCTGCAGCAGCAGTTGGAAGAGAAACTGCAACGTCTCCAGTATCCACCAAACGTGAGTGCTGACAATCATTCATCATCTGTAACTCCGGAAACCTCTCTTTCTGCCAGAGACCAGGATCCAGAAAGCAATAACAGCAATACACGAACAAGTGGAATAGAACCAAACAATAACAATACAAGTGTAACCAACAGGCCTGGTCGAGAACGTGCAGGATCAGAAGGTGAGGGCATATTTCCTGGGCAATGGGCTTGGTCAAAATAAGACCGTAAATATTGGGTGATTGGCTGGATGAGAAAATGTGAATAAATATATCGAACTTACTCTGTCGGGTCTCGGTTTATCTCTTGCACAGAGTTGTTTTTTTATGTGATCTTCGGCAATGCTGTGCTCAGATATCCTTACAATGCAGGTCGCTGTGAATGATCTTTGTACCGTTCTCGTATCCCATCTCTAGAACAAGATTCTGACGAGATTACAATCGGCAAAATCTCCTTATTTACTAAGGATGTTTTGGGTCGGGGAGCTGGAGGAACGTTTGTATTTAGGTGAGTGGAATATTCCTAACTGACTTGATGTTACAGGGAAATGTAGAGAAGAGAAGTGTGTTTAGAGAAGAGAAAAGTGGAAGGAAGGTAGGTTTAGTGGAAAGAAGTGAGGTAGAAAGAGAGGAGTACAGAGAGGAAGGAGGGATGGACAATTTACAAGACAGACATGGAGGAAATTTTATTTGAAGAGAGAAGTTGCATAGAAAGATCTAAGAATAAGGAAAATGTGTACAAAGTAAGCAGAGAGAATATGTATAGATGTGAAGCAGGGTAATTAGGTGAATATGTCAACCAAGGAAGGAATGTTTGAGAGAAGTATGAAAAGAAAACTGTGTGAGGTGGAAATAATTGTACAGGAGAGGAACAATGATACTAAGCAGCAACAGGAGGTTATACAGTAGAGAAGTGTTAAATGTTCAATGTTTTTTTTAACTATTTCATTGTGAATGAGATGGTATGTTCAGATGTCCAAAACAACCTGATAGTTTGCTCTAATCAGGGGCAGGTTTGATGACCGTCCAGTAGCCGTGAAAAGGATCTTGCCGGAGAGTTTCACGCTGGCAGATCGAGAGGTCCAGCTACTGCGGGAGTCTGATGAGCACTCCAACGTAATTCGTTATTACTGCACGGAAAGCGACAAACTTTTCTATTACATAGCACTGGAGCTGTGCGAAGCCACCCTGCAGCAGGTAAGCAATGGCGGTAAATGTATGTAGAAGGAAGGGTGCAGGAGAGAGGGCTTTCAGCAGGGAAACATGAAAACGGTGGGTACAGGACAAAGGCAGGGAAAGACGTTGGCTAAGCACATTGGGAAATAAAGTGACAAAGGTTAACCAGGGCTGATGTATTTTATGAAATCTGGAACCAGGTAAGTAGCAGGGTTATAGGGATTCCTGAGAACTCAGGGGGTCTCAGGAGATTTTAATTACCTTGCATCACAGACGTGTTTGCCGGTCAATAAATGAGTCAGTGTCAGATTGTCAGGTTATCAGATTATACAGGTTTTAAACAGATTAATAAAAAGTGTCTCTGGCACAAATCTTGTGCAAAATATTAATAAATGTGAAAATAAATCACCTAAAGTGTCAGTTTATCAAGGCACGTATTTGATTACGTTAAGGTTCACTATATTCTCATATGAAACGCAGAGAAAGAGAAAAATATATGCGAATATAGTGTAGTATTTCATAACAAACAATAAAATAAAATGGACAGACACTCCCAAGAGAAAAGCACAACGAAAATGAATTTTGCACGAGATTGAAAAAGTAGTGCAACAAGGATTGTGTTTCTCTGTTTCCAACACTCCTAAACCAGGACCCAGATCTTCTGCACTGAGGACCTGTGGGCCAGCCAGGGAGAAGAGATAAGAGGCCATCAAAGTGCTTTTAGCACACTTTTCTTTTGCTGTGTGAGTGTCTCTACATTTTTACGTACATTTAATTTTATTACTGGTTATTGAACACTACACTATATTTGCATATATTCTTCTCTCTTTGTTTCAAATGTGAATATACTGAAAATTAAGGTTATCAAATAACTGTCTTTTTATTTTTATTATTGTTAAGACATATAGAAAAACATAACCTGCAACGAAAGATACAAAGCCAATAAGTACACGTTTCTGAGCAATAACAATCGTTTAGCAGTACATTATTTAAAAAAAAAAAAAAATTTTAAAGAAAAAAATTATAATAAAGAGAAGTTCAATTACACAGTGTAGCTTCAGACTTATGTTTAGTTTCATGAAGTAGTAGAGCTCGAGACATACAAAAGAAAGGTGAGAACATGTCAAGTGAACATGGGCGCAGTATGGTAAAACATGACGTTAAGAGCTGAACATATGCTTGATATCTAAATCTCGAGCTTGTTGCTTAGTAGTAGGCTCGTTCATATGACTGGTACCCAATTCTCACAGATGAAGACCACTCGTATAGAATAGGCAGCTACTGGAATTATAAAAGCTCTCCACCCACCTGGCAGGCAGTCTCAGGAATGACAGGTGACAGTCAACGGATGCATTGGTCGGGTAGTATCCATAAAGTCAGCTCAGAAGAGCAGTACAAGTATGCCATGGGTTAGTACCCCTCCTGCCCCAGGCCTGTAGGAAGGCCGATACCTTCTTACCACAGACTCAGCTTCACAGTGTGCCCAAGTCCATCCCAAGCGGGACAATGCGAAAGGCTCTAAAGACAAGTTAATGCCGTTTTGGATTTTATATTCCTCTGCATGCGTGGGTGGTGCTGTGGGGTCGAGCCTCGTGTGACCCAGGTAGGCCCACGATAGGGGTGACAGCAGGTACAGAATCTAAAATACCAATCTTTCTGTATTGACACTTTGTTATTTATGCCACTTTTATTAGTGTTTTGTGCCAGAGACACTGTTTTTAGTCTGTTTGCACTTTATGTTGAGTTGAAAGAGGCAACTCCGTCTACTTTGCAGCACTGTATAATTGCACTTTATCTTTTTAACTTATAATTTCCTTCTTCAGTACGTGGAGGATCCCAACTTACAATGCCAAGGTCTGGATCCGGTGACTGTACTAAACCAGGCCATGTCCGGTCTGACTCACTTACACTCTCTAAACATCGGTGAGTGACAGGGGTTGCTCAATTCAAGGGGATTAGGGGTAATGATATTACTATAGAACACTCAGTGTTCTTTCACTCATGGACTGCCCATTTTAACCCTTCTATTAATCCATCCACTTAGTGTGTATTTTAGCACTTGATGAGTGTTCTCTACCTTGTAGGTGGAGTTTCTTTGAATCTTAAAATGTTCGTTTTGTCACCTTGTTATACATTTTATACCATGCTGTTTGCTATATTTTAGATTTTGCAGCAAAATCTAAAAAATAATTTGGTTCATGGGGATCTTCTGTATTAGAATATATAATGGAAGATACTTTGAGATATATACAGTTCCTAGGATACCTCTCACCCCTGCCATTCCTTAGTTGTTGTGAAATTTGTGGCTATGATATGAGTGTCTGGCCTCCCCCGGTGAGCACAGTTTCCTTCATATTTCAGTACACCGAGACCTCAAACCATGCAACATTCTTATCACCCAGCCCAACGCTCAGGGCAAGCGGCGAACTGTTATATCGGACTTCGGCCTCTGCAAGAAGCTCGGTGTTGGGAGAAATAGCTTCAGCCTTCGCTCTGGTATCCCTGGCACAGAAGGATGGATCGCTCCAGAGGTCTTAAGAGACGGACCGAAAAAAAACCCAGTGAGTAACTGTGTCATGTGGCAAACACTCTATTAAAATACAGCTAACCACACTGCTTTATGATGTTGCAAACTTAGCATTCTGGGAGAGCATTGTGATTGCACTCTGTGTCACTCACTGGTGTAAGCATAAGCTGAAAACTACGACCTAAAATAAAATAGATATTTGAATTGCTAGAAATTTGGCCAAACAAATGTAGAGATTAGTTTATTTTTGTCTTTAAAATGCCGTCGTGACACATCCTGTCTTCAGAGAGACAATTTAAAGCGGCTAATTTGCCTGAAATGTATCTTTATAAAGCAACATTCTCATCAGATTAGTGTTATTTCAGCTAATTATTGAGATATAGTTCGCTGTCTATCGTAGTATTGCGTCATAATGTTTAGTTGATCATAAGTAGGAAATAAAGCTGCTGGGTCCAATCAGAATTTCAGTTGAGCTGCAATGCTGCCAGTTAACTGTACGGAGAAGACCATACATGCTATTAAACAACCTGATGCAGATCCTTAATGGGAGAACATATTTTTTTGAAGTATTATAAACCTGAAGTGGTATATCACTGCAAGCTTGTTTTCCAAATATTCTTTAGTGTTGCGGTTGATATTTCTGGCCAAAATAGAGCACAAAAGAATATTAACAGAATAGCTTGTCCTGTGGTGGTCCTTTTTAGTGCTCATGCTAGATTTATGTAATATTGTGCTAATACAAAAAAGCGCCCCAAACCGTTTGCATATCAGACTGATTAAACACAAAAATAGTCCTTTTTAAAAATGCTGAGATTTGCTCGTTTCAGCCTTGGTGGGCCTCGTCAGTGAGGTGTAGCTGAGAACATCTGTAAGCACAGTCAGCAATCCAAATTATTCAATTAGAAAGCACAGCTTACTTATAAGAGCCCACTAGTGCAGCCCAAATTTATTCAGAGCATTCAAAGTACAGACGTTTTGGGATCCCTGGATGAGGGAATTTATCATTGAGGGGGAGCTGAGGTTCTGAAACGTCTGTACTTCGGATGAACAACACCAAAAGGCAAAATAGTTTAACCTAGTGCATCTATTGTGTATAAACCGCTGTACCCCAACAGCAAGCAGAGTAAAGCAATCCAAAGTATTTATCCACAAAGCACAGCTTAGTAATAGGGGCCATCTAGTGCACCCCAAAAGTAGACACTTAGAGCCTAAGTTTTTGGTTCCGTCATGAATCATTTGGTATATTTTGAGTGGTTATGAATTATGCCGGTCCCCACCCCTCCCGGGGTCCACATCTGGATTATCCTTTTACCTTAGGGAGCCCGTAGGCTGGTTGGAAACACATTTTCCGAATACAGAAATGTTTTTGTAGGTAATAGGTTGGATACCAAGTAAAGTATTTTTTGTATTTACATAATTCTATAATTGCTGTTATTGGAGAGAGAGAAAAGAAAATAAATACATGAAATTAAAAATTGTACAAAATAGCTCTGCTGATAGATGCTCCAATTGTACTTATTTGTAGTAGAACCTTGTCTGTACTATAATGCACAGTTTACAAATTGTTCATTTATATGACGATATAATTCTCTGTTTTTTCAGACGTCTTCAGTGGACATATTCTCAGCCGGCTGCGTGTTCTATTATGTGCTGGCACACGGACAGCATCCGTTCGGTGACAGCCTAAGAAGGCAAGGAAACATTCTCACTGGTTCTTATAGTCTTTCTCACCTCAAGCAGGAAACCCACGGTAAAGCGACTTTGAGTACAAGTTACATTTCATGTGTTCTGATAACTGGAAATAAACACGTGGTCTAACCCTCCACCACATACCCCCCGATCCCCATTGTATCCTTCAGAGAACATCGTGGCTCGAGATTTGATTGAGATGATGATCAGCAGTGATCCATTGCTCCGACCTTCAGCTCAGAAGGTCCTGAAACATCCATTTTTCTGGGCCCGAGAGAAACAACTACAATTTTTCCAGGTAAGAAACATGACCAAGGAGACATCTGACTGCTATTTTGGGGTCAAGAGGGAATTTTTTCCTAGTTTGTTTCAAAATTGGAAGCGCTTCAGGCTAGGTTTTTTTGCCTTCTTTTGTATCAACAGCAAAAACATATGTGAGGGAGGTTGAACTTTATGGATGCAAGTCTCTTTTCAGCTATGTAACGATGTAGCTATGACTTGTACTTTGGCTTTTGCAAATGAGCACAGGAATGTTTTTTGGGGGGTTAGGAGACTTGAGTTATAGTTGGACAATGGTCTTTTGATCTTGCCTCCACGGTCTTCAATATTTGTCTGGTTGACAATCTCTACTTGACTATGCTCAAACCTTTTTCAGGATGTGAGTGACCGCATTGAGAAGGAACCACAGGACAGCCCACTCATTATTGCCCTGGAGTCCAGAGCTCAATCTATTACCCGTTTGAACTGGCGTCAACATATATCTGTTCCCCTGCAGACAGGTATCCTTTTGAGTAGTAAATGTGTTAATTTTTTCTCTTTGTTAAAGGGACACTATAATGAGCAAAGACAACTCTAGCTTAATGAACTAGTTTTGGCTCAATGAAGCAGTCGGACTGCTCAGGTCTCTGCCATTTAGGAGTTAAATCACCTTGTTTATGCAGCCCTAGTCACACCTCCCTACATGTGACTTACACAGCCTTCCTAAACACTTCCTGTAAAGAGTCAGCTAATGTTTATACTTCCTTTAGTTCAAATTCTGTTTAATTTAGATTTTGTCTCCTGTTCTGTTAATAGCTTGATAGACTCTGCAGGAGCCTTCTGTATGCAATTCAATTACAATTTACAGAGCAGGAGTTAAAAACTAAGACTAAGTTACATCTGATTGAAAGTGAAACCATTTTGTTTTCATGCAGGGTGTATCAATCACAGCCAGGAGAGGTGCGGCTAGGGCTGCATAAATAGAATCAAAGTGATTTAACTCCTAAACGGCAGCGAATTGAACAGTGAGACTGCAGGGGCATGATCTGTACACCAAAACTGCTTCATTAAGCTAAAGTTGTTTTGGTCACCTATCATTCCTGGTAGTTTTTGTAAAGTGAATATTGATTTGTATGTTTTCAAACCAACAATTTTTGTTACAGATTTGAGGAAATTTCGATCGTACAGAGGTAATTCAGTACGAGATCTTCTCCGAGCTATGAGGAACAAGGTGTGTAACACAGCAAGGATTATAGTTGATCAAGAAAGGGAATTTTCCATTGTCTCTGCTTAAAATATTTTAAATAACACTTTCAAAAATTTTTTTTTCTTGCTGTTCCTACAGAAGCATCATTATCACGAACTCCCACCTGAAGTCCAGGAGACATTGGGCTCCATTCCCGATGAGTTTGTATTTTATTTTACCTCCCGATTTCCATTCTTGCTCCTTCACACGCACAGAGCATTGGAGAAGTGCGCCCGTGAGAGACCGTTCCAGTCTTATTATCATTGGGAGCCAAGACAATGAAGTAGACTTTAAAGTTCTCTGCCACCTGTACCACAGCCCAAGACTGCCATCGCTGCACTGATCGGAGAGCACATCCTTTGGCCATCAAGGCCTGTCTGCAGAACAGTGTTCCTTCTGTCTGTGGATTATACTGCTTCATATTTTTGCACTGTAGTTTTGCTTAGCAATGTGCTGATTTTAGAGTAGATCATTACAACCACAGCCAGGCCAGAATTATGTGCCTTGTGTTTTCCGAAAAAATTCTACATATATATATTTTATTATAAAATAGTTGAAAGAAAAACACTGCCTTGTCCATTGCACTACTGTATTAAGTCCGCTGCTGACATCCGTTACCATGATTACAAATGAAGTGGGCAGAAGGTAGTTATCTTGTAAGATACTCCATTTTTAGACAGACTGCAAGCATTGTAAAGCAATGTGGGGGGACAGTTACAAACATGAATCAATCTGTTTTATATGATTCTAATTATTGATGAAATCTTTTATTTATTTTTTTAGCTCCTTGGAGAACATTGTTGTACAATTTTATTCTGTCTGAGGATAAGAAAAAGTGTAAATGTTTTGATATTTTATATATTTTTTTTTCTCAAAATGGCCAAAATATCTGCTGTTTAAAATTAAAAAACAAAACAAAAACTGCTTGTAAGCTTTAACTAAAACATTCCATAAATGGTTAACCATATCAGACCCATTAGAATAATAAATGCAGTGTTTTCCATAGTGAATCACCTCTGTCCCTTCCACATGAATATTGACTAACTGGGGTCTAATCTTTAAGTGTCTGCAAGCCCCACATTTGGAGCTAGAAGGTTGGTTAATGTCAATTCTCTACATATACCTATGTATAAAATTACATTTATTGGTTGAGAGCAGTCAGCTGATGCTTTCAGCCAATGAGTGGTCAGCAGGATCAACTTCCAGAATTTGCAACTCTACAGAAACCGGATGTTGTCACTGGCCCCTGGAGGACCCTCGGCATTGGATGGGGACCCATGCGAGAAGCAGATTTTTTTTGAAATTGGTTTGTTCCATTATCCGGAAATGCTGACAGGGTATTCCTGGCATCATAACCACTACAGTGAGTGACCTGTACCAACTCTTAAAGTACCATTTAACATAGGTCAGCTAGTACAGACTCCTATGTCTTAGAACGATATAGACCGAGCCATCACCAGTGACAGCTGCAGGGAATTAGCTTGGTCTATGGAGGGTTTTGCAGACTGTTCCATAGATCTCAATGCTGTACTATTGTGCATGTGTGAGAGTACAGCAGTAACATCGGCTCCTGGCAAGCTAAAAAGGACCTGTGAGGCAGGTACTGGTAAGTAGAACTCACCATTATTTGCAACTCAGTGACAACGCCACCTTTAGAGGTCTTTGTAAATTCTGCAAAGCCCCCTGACAGTGCTAATTGTTAATCTCAATTATTGCCCTGGCACCCCTCACTTAAACACCTCCAATCTATCAATGGGACACTGGGCCTCAATGCAGGTGCTTCACTCCTCAGTACTGGTGATGTCCATCCATAAAGCAAGCTTAAGATGGAGGGTAGGGATGTGCCAAAAATTGGCCTATCCCATTTGTTTTTTTTAAATATATATATATTTTTTTTTTGTGGGCATAGGTTAACAGACATAAAAGTAGGAAAAATCAGCGCTTAACTGCCACAGAATGAGTGAGAAGGCAGCACACCTAAAAGGGGAATCCCCTATGATCCCCTAAATATAAGAAACAAATAGACAAAAAGAAAGGTAAGGGTGCGCCTGAATGAATAAATATAACAGATATATAAAATATAGAATAAAATAAATGAAATAAAAGTCCCGAGCACTTATCAAATGTCCGTTATAGTAGTTTCTCCTTGTAGAGATAACAAATCTTTGGGACGTCAGACGGGGTTGAGACTTCACAGTGATGTACTTGAATCCGGTGAGGTACGTATATAAAAGAAAAAAAGGAAAAACTCCAATGGTACAGTATATCAATCACAGTGTAAATATTGGAATAGTGTAAATAGTCCTACTCACACTTTTTGGAGCTAAAATTTAGCTCCAATATATGCGCGTGAAGTGGAATGATCCCCACTCATGGATATGTAGAGTAGTGCTTTGATTGGAGAATTCTAGGTCCGTGTTCGGTGTTCCAATCAGTTTAACAAAATTGAGAGAATAAAAGAATAGTGCTCTCTGTTTGTAATATAAAAAAAAATAACAGACATGCTTGCATTAACAATTCAGAGGATTATATATCACAATGAAAGATAGTAATGGGAACATGAAACGTCAAGAATACTGCACTTGGGAGGAAAATTTATAGGAAAAAACCTTTAAAGCATTTGGGGGGAAAAGTCTGTTTCGGCCAAGGGCATCCTGAATTTTCAATTTTGGCCCATAATTTTCATTTTGATGCATCCCTAATGGAGGGTGGATGCAGATTAAGCACTTTCTATAGAAGCACCACAACTTTTGCTTCTCCGCAGGATGCCCTGGGGCACAAAGAAACAAACACTTAAAGCACCTGAGAACACAGACCTGCTTCAGGGAGTTTAAAGAAATACTACAAATAGTAGCACAAGTCCTACAGAACCAAGTTTTTTTTTTCTCCACACTAAAATGCATTGCTTATGAGAGTGCATCAGAAGAGAGACTGTCCCCACTTTCAGCACTTGACATAGCTAGAATTAATGGAACAGAACTAATGAATGGATTTCAAAGCCCAGCAAATACACCTATTGCATGGGCTTAAAGATATTATCCTTTGCAGTCCTGGGGAGCTGTGCTGGAAAATAGGTGGGAGAAGCATCCTGGCCTGCACCAATAATCAGGTACAGGACAATCAGCTCCCTTGTAGAATGAGCTCTATTAAAAATGAACACTTACTAGTGTTTTAAAAAACATTTTTGTAGAACACACAACATGCATTTTTAATTGAGGGACAGGTCTACAAACCGCTTGTAAAATCTAGAGTTCTTGTGACTGTCCAGTCACAGGGTTCCCAAAGCAGGTGCTCTGGATGATTGCTGCCTCTTGAGTTTAGCTTCACTGAGCTAAGCTAACAGGAAGTAACAGGAGAGGTGGATGGGAGGGCACACAGTGGTGTAGTTGTAAAATAAGTGCTGACCATATAAATACCACCCAAATATGGGGAAAAAAAAAAAATTTAGTGCTAAACCAGTATGATCTTAAATGGACACTGTCACCTGAACTACAGCTTAATGTAGTTCAGGTATGATCTATAGCTCCCTGCAGGCAATCTAATGTAAACACTGTATTTTCAAAGAAAATACAGTGTTTACATTGATTGATAGGAATACCTCCAGTGGCTGTCACTCAGACGGCCACCAGAGGGACCTCCTATCATGTAGGGCCCTATAGAGGCCTTGACACGTCAGACGTATTAAAATACATCTGATGTGTGCAGGGGAGAGAAGGCACTGTGCGCGCCTTCTCTCTTCTGCCTGTCAGCAGAGGAGAGGCGGCAGGCAGAGTGCACTCAGTACTTCAGAGGGCAGCATGAATGCCGCCCTCTGAAGTATGTGCGGTGAAGCCGCACAAGGGAGCAGTGACTCTTCCAAATGGAAGCGTCTGATTGCTCCCACCCGCCTATTTTGGCATTTTGATAAGGGCTCTCGGCGCTGGAACCAGGTGAGTAAAATCCTCTGCCTGGAGAGTCCCTTTAAGTGACCACATGTATATTCCTGACCGTATATGGTGAAAACCCATCTAGCTTCTGCTGGCTTTGCCCCTGATCTGCCTGCTTAGCTGACATTAGAAGAAATTCTCAGAGGCAAATCAGATTTAAGGAGGCAGATGAGGGGCAGAGACAGCACAAGCCATACACAGCCCTCATAGAAGTATTGAATCAATGCATCTATGATGAAAGCTCAGTGTCTCCATACAGACCATTGCCCCATGAAGTATCTCTAGTAGCCATTCGTGGAGTGGTCAGTGGAGATATCCCTAGGCTGTAATGTAAACACTGCATTTTCTCTGAAAAGAAAATTTACTGCAAAAAGCCTGAAGGGAATGATTACTCACCTGAACAAATACAATAAGTTGTCGTTTGATGACTAGTGTCCCTTTAAATACTTTGTTATAACACTAAAATGTTGCAATCAATTTTGTTCAGGGTAATAACTCAATTGTCTTTCAGGTGGTCTAATAACTAGGGGCTATTGTAGTCTGCACTTTGAGAAGGAAACTTCATACAAAGCATTTAGCAAACTGAAGTACTTTAGAAGTTTAAGTGATTGTTAAAAGGACACTAGGCACCCAGAGCACTTCAGCTAATTTAAGTGGTCTGAGTGCTGTGACCCTTTTGCACCTAGTGCTGCAATGTAAAAAACATTGCAGCTCCAAGTCTGCCCTCAGTGTCTGTCTACCAGACAGCCACTAGAAGGCTTCCGGAATACTTTGTTATGATGCTGGACGTCCTCACTGACTTCCAGCAACAGACTTTTCCCCCATAGGAAATCAAATAATGCTTTCCTAGGGTGAGGTCTAATGTGTGCGGCCATTGCTGCGCATATGCATTAGATCTCCCCCGTCTGACGTTTGTGAAACCTGACCCAGCACCGAGGGACATCTGCTCTGGATTCAGGTAGATTGCTTAAGAGGTTTTAAGACACCTGCAGGAGGGGGGCACTCCAGGAGCCTGTAGTGCCAGAAGAAACCTGTTTTCCTGGCACTATAATCCTTTAAGGCCAAAATAGTCAAATTGGAAAGATTCTCCATGGCAGTGGATAACTTCGTACGTGATCACATTGAAATCTCTTGTTTGAGCTGGAGCGGTAAGTGATACCTAGAAACTCATTTCTGGACTGGTAAGGATGGGATGTCCTGGGACTCCCAGTACAGAGTGTATTTGTAGATTTAATGCAAGCAATTTCTACATTTTCAATATCCATTTGCAAAGTGAAATGGCGCGCTGCAGCTAGGATTTGAGCAACGCCTGTATCTCCATCCCCACTTCCAAAACCATAAACATTCAGTCAAATCAATATACAAAAGTGTTAATCTGTTAATATACAAAAGCTTTAAAGTTTATTTTACATTAAAAACCGGACATTACTGTAGACATTGAAAAGGAAACAGGACAGGTTTTTAGAGTGCTGAAGAGATACCCAACTTATGATTACATGGAGAGAAAGTCCTGCAGAGTTGACTTTACAGTCTGTTGGCACAATGGTATTTTTTTTTAAAAAAATTCACAAGGGACCTGTACCAACTCTCCCTATGCAATTTGGGCCAGCAAAATGAGTTAAGGCGTTTTCAAGCCCCATGCCAAGGAGAGACAGTGTCCATGATTTGGTAGTCCTTCCAGGCTATGCTGGGGCCTTCACATGTACAGCTCCAGTCTTTGAGCTCTGTAGTTTTTCTACCATGGTACGAGCATAGCGCAAACGGCTGGCAAGCTCCTTGCAGCAACCAAATTCCTCAATAAGGCTCAGTTTATAGGTGTGAAATTCACGTTTTTCGTCTATGTAGGACACAGCAGCCATCAGAGGGCATAGGATAATCTTCGTGTGGTCCTGTTTAGAGAAAGGAAGTAGGCAAGGATAAATTTAGTTGGCATGACCCACCATGAAAAACCTTACAAGTTTTCTGGAATTTTGATAGTCTCAAATCTACACTAGAGATTCTTATAGAATTCAAAGGACAGATTTCAAAGAATGTTTGTCAAACCAGCATCCAACACTAGAAATTGTTACTAGATGGTTGCAATCAGATTACAAAATACAATTTTAGATTTAGAAAATCTGCGTTGCACACTGCTCCTATCAAGCTAAAGTGCAGTGTTTCCTTAATCAGTTCCTTACCTGGAAGAAGTTTATCTGGACTGTGCCATTGCTCAGATGAAGGATAATTGCACTCCGTGTACGGAACCACGTCCTCAGATAAGGAAGACGAGCCAGCTCATCGCCATCTCTTGGACGGATATTGGCACCAGCTTTCAGCAGGTGTTCGCTCATATAGTTACGGAAATATTTAAGCAGTGTGATCTATACGGGAAGAATAGTACAAGTTTGCGATTTGTTAGTAATTCCTTGCCATACCCAATAGCAACAGTCCCCACTAATCTATCAAGTTTATCACTGCTGGTGATTTAACTTTAGTTAATGTCATTGTGTCAGAGTGGCATCTAGCTCACATCAAAATTAAAAGGGCAGGACTTACCTTCTTTGTTAAGGATGGAGGGTAGGTGCGCACATTAAGGTAGGACTCTGCATTATTTCTCTCGATATACTGTAGGCTGTCACCATCATTGTACATTATCAACCGCGTAGAGTCATTGAATAATACTCCTACGCTGTTATCGCAGAGCTGATATCCTGGGTAGGGATTAAGAGAGAAACATGAAGCTTCAAACGTCAGAGGTGGCAATACATGATCTTCTAAACAAAGTGAGATATGGTTTGAAATTTGAACATATGCAGTGTCTGATCTGCTAGATTAACACTTCTACAAAGGACAAACAAAGTTATTTATGAATGTGAGAATGGTCAGGAATCAAAGTAAGTAGCCAATCCACTTGCAGACTGACTTACCTGGGATCTGCCCTGCTGTGCCAGTTTATTGCTACAAAAGGTCAACTGATCAAGTTTGCAGTATGCCAGGGCACCATAACTACTACTGCATGAATGGTTACTCTGACAGGGTTCTTAAAAAGATTTGTCTGAGTAACCCTTTAAAGGCCAGCCATGGGAATCTTGCACAAGTCAATGTGAGTGTATTGACTTCAAGTGTTACTGCAGCCACCATGACCACTTCTGCTTTTACACATGACGTAGGTAGCCAGGCGACAGACAAGGTCAGCTTCTACAATGGCAGGCAGTGTACCTGCAAGAGGAAGCTTCAGAGACCCCTCCTAGGTCCCTTCCTTTTTCTTAGCTTAAGAGAAGGTGAAGTAACCCTTTAATGTACTCCAACATTGCATTTACATACCCAGGCCATACTTGTCTGAGTAATCCACCCATTTGCTGACCCAGAATATGGGATTGCAGGCTGGATCTTCAGCTTCATCTAAAAAGACAGAAAAGACAAATGTCACATTAACTCAGGAAATTTACTCACTCACAAATTGTGAAAAGAAGCCTTTCACCATGTTACTTCAAGGTGGTCAGTATGGACAGAAGGATCTCACTCCAACACCAGGTAAGAGGCCTTACCTTGTCTAATCAAGGGCTTCTCCGATGGCTTGGCTGCATTGACACTTGTCAGTTGTACCAGCATGTCAGACAGGTAACAGTCAGCAGGTTCTGTGGACTCCGGCTGCTGGACATCTTCATCCTTCCCTGGGGCAGTTTGCTTCTCCACCAGTGGAGAGTCTTGTCCTGCAAGCAGAATTGATCACATTGAAAGGCAGGCGACCTTAGATTTCCTCGCATAGTGTGCATTCTAAGGGCTCACCACCCACTAACACAAACAGGGAGGATTTCACATTAGAAATCAGTCCTGTAGGTGGCACCATTTACAGCTTAGGTGAACTGTTGGAGAAGTCTAACTACAATGAGACTTGGCTAGTGTCATCTGTATGCCAGTCATTCTATAAGGGTGTAAAACTCAGTGGTGTCCCAACTCCTCCAGTGTGTGAGGCTGGACAGGAAGTGGAAGGGATCACTTCCTACCTGTCCACTAAGCCTCTCACACAGGAAATGTATTGCAGAAGAAGCAGGGACAACAATGAGTGACACTGTATATATCATAGGACAGCACTGAGTCACTTTATAACAGCTCCTGCAGGGCTATCATAGGAGGGCGAGTACTGTGCAAATAACCCTTCAAACGCCACATGCCTGTTACCTAAACACCCCTTTCCCTTTCCTCAGTGCCAAATGTAATCACTCAAACTAAATCCTAGTTTTAAACTACCAATGTTTTCCAATAATTCGATACACCCATTATACCTCAACTATAACCAGTCAAGATTTTAATCTCAACATTAAACACCCAATGTAAGACATTTCAAACATTAACCCCATTTTACAAGTGTCTTTAGCCCTGCATACACTCACTATACCTACATGTTCATGTACGTGTCCAGTTTGAGTATGTGTTATGCCTTCACTGGATGTAGCTTTGAATTCTGTGCCTACATGCACCAGACATGTAAATATAGCCCTGACCAGGTGTATGGTCGCCAACAAACCTTTATTAATAGCTGTAAGTGGTTTCCTGAAGCTAGGATCAATGCTGCTGGGTGCAATGGAGAATCTGGGGGGTACAGTCAGACAGGTAGTAGGAAGTCTAGTGGGAATGTAGCCAGAAGTGAAGAAGTCATCATTCAGTAGGTCATCTATGGTGGGTCTGGATGTTGGTTCTGACCGCAGCATCTTCTGAATGAGTGCAGCTGCCACAGGATTAATGTGCTGTGAGGAACAATGAGCATGGTTACAGCCATCTCCATTAGACTCCCAATAAGTGTATACATAGAAATTTAACAGACAAGTCATTTCATCTTAAAATCAACCAACACCATGATCCAGATCTTTGTAGAGTAAAGGTAAGTCTTCATGTATTTATAAGACCAGGGCTGCCCAATAGGTAAATCCCCAGATGTTGTAGTACAACTTTGATGAGGCTTTGTATGCCTTAGAATGACAGAGCATTATGGAAGTTGTAGTTTTAAGACATCAGGGGGATCTACCTTTTAAGCACACCTGTATTAGACAATAGGAACACTTATTGAGGTCAGTAGGCTTTCCTCTAGTCAAACATTCAGAACCCGCTGCTTTGTCCATATAGGAAAGGGGCAGTGCCCCCTCATGCCTGGGTTGATACTGTACTAACTGAGCAGAAAAGACTGATTACCCTGCTGTGACTCCTTCAGACACTACAAGGTCAAGCATATGTGCAGGTTAGGTCCTTCAGATCAGCCTACCAACTCAGGCCAGCTACATTGAACTTAAAATCGGCTCAGAACTCAGCCATGGCCAATCAAACATTTAACCAGGTGGAGAGCCTACATCATGCAAAGGATCAGAGGGCGCTATTCGAACTGCAGACAGCTCTTGGGTTTAGCTAGCCAAAGATACCACATGTGGTGTTTACTGCATGAGAACTTTATATGGTTGGGTATTTTATTAAGGCACTATGAGGTCTGGAGGTTAGAGTTGCATTTCTCTACCTAGTTATCTCCCAGACAGGCCTGGGTGGGATCTGTATTGTTTAAGTTAATACAATGCCTGAGGTCTGTGCATAAATGGGTTTTGATGAAAAATTATAAAGAAAAAGTTACTGTTTTCACCCTTCAAGTTTTGATGAATGTTTGGTGGGTGGCTATACACTGCAGGAAAGTGAGACTTTCAGACACACTGGTAGTGTATCCGAGCAATTTTAAAAATAAAAGTGAGAAATTTTCCCATTGCACCAGAGATTGTGTTGAGACGTGTTTCACATAGGGCAGGTCACTAATGTTTCCCTTTCTTTCATGGGTCACCTGTGAGTGTTCTCTCGTGAATAAGAGGGACTGACAGACTACGGAGTGTGCGGTTCAGACATGCATTGCACCATCTTCCCATGATGCACCACTTTCTATCTTTGGAAACACCTGCCCATCATGTGTGACGGTCACATGATTTCACCTATGCTGTATGCAAGGCCGCACGGCCCCAGATAAGGAGCAGTTTATAAAGCAATATCCTGAAGTAAAGACACGAAGAAGCCAGGCTTCCAATCCCCAGTATGAGAGGAAAGTAAAAATATTTATATTCAGTTTAGAGTTCCATCATACCTTGGGAATAGTGTATTCATTCTTTTTAATCCTCAGGTAAGTCTCTTTCAGGCATGAAGTCTCAAAAGGAGGTTTTCCGACCAATAGTGTGTACCTGAGAGCACAGAAGACTATTATAAGTGAGGGTCACAAGCCGATTGTGACAAAGTTTAATACTTTATATTCAGAATGGCTGAAGCTTAGCACTGGGAACGTTTATAGAATCAGTTCTAGAGCTGGAATAGTCACCATGGAAACCAATGCAATGTTAACTATTCCACCAATTGCCACAGTGAAGAGTGGTCCTAAATACTAAGGTTTCAATCTGGGACAATGTTTTTGTAACTAGTCACTTACATGATGCAACCAAGGGACCAGATATCCACTTCAAAACTGTGTCCCTTCTTGCCTAGTACTTCGGGAGCAATATAATTTGGGGTTCCACATAGCGTTTTCTTTCTTTCACCATCAAATTCCACTTTGGTTGCCAATCCAAAGTCACCTGGAATCACAGAAAATGGGTAAGCTACAATAGCAAAGCAGGACATGCCAGACATTGACTCGTATCAATACTTACGAGAGCTAAACATTTGCAAGACCTGGTCACACAATTTTACTCTCTTTACGGTGATGCAAAGTCATGTTAAAATAAAACGGGGATGGTTTATAGGATCCCATCTCTGGAGAGGGCAATCTTCTTAAGGAATACTCATGGGTTTGTGTCAGTAGCCTGGAAAGAATCCATGACTCATAGGTGGCCAAAAAGGTAGATCAGCCGTTTATGAACTACCTTAAAACTTTACCAGCCTTGTGACAGGCAGATCATGTGAGATATGCGTGGAAACAGCTGGTAATACAATGTTTCGCCACCAACGCAATGGACTCCCACTTTACTTCTCGCCCTGCATGTTGAGCAACACAAGGCTCGTCTTGACCAAAAAAAGGTTCAGAGTGACAGGCAACGCAACCGCCAGAGATTTATAGTTTGAATGCAGAGTTAGCGTATTTACCTATTTTCACCTCCATTTCATCATTCAGGAAGAGATTTCCAAGCTTGAGGTCTCTGTGAATGACTCTGTTGCTGTGCAAATACTGACATCCTAAGATGGTCTGTCTCAGGTAATAGCGAGCTTCGGGTTCGGTTACTGCTTTCCTCCTTTTATGCAACTCCAGCAAGGACTGAAACGATAGAATATACAAGATAAGGCAGGTTATACCAACACCAACTGCTCAGCTGGAAGACACTGCCTGCCAGACTATAAACACATCTATCTGTGCAAGGCAGTGTTACCTAGTCCACCTTCAGGGGGCAGGAGAGCTGAGCTTGGTTTCTGTTGATGTGAACGGTTACAATGTAATTATGGCTGTTGGAAGAGTCAGCCAGTAACCAAAACCAAGAGAACAATTCACATTTTATCTTAAAAGAATCGATTCAGGACATTTTGCATCAAATACTGGCCACTTTCGCATGAGCTTAGCTAAATATACGAAGGATCCAGAGGATGAGATATAGGAAATAGGGGGAAAAGTGTAAAAGCCAATTAATAGATCATTGCACCTTTAATTTATTGATGGCATTTATAAAGAGCCAACATATTTAGTAGATTCCATCGCTCCCCAGAATATAAACCGATCTCAGCCAGGATTGAGACATGTGACTGGAATCCGGTCAGAGACTTTTTGAAAAATGCTCAGACTCCCTACAAGTGCACTCCCCCATTAAAGCTAGTTTGTGCCGCTGTTTAAAAGTCAGGATCACGAACACATTCACAATATGATTACAATAAAGGCTGATTGGGTTTGACTTCAGTCACATTAACACAGAATGAAAGTCTGAAATGGCTCTCACTCTGCTGCAGAAACGAGTGTTAATCAAACCTGTCAGGATTATCACAGCCCACTGCACCATAGATTGTGAATCAAACCAACCCCCTTCCATGGCCACTATGCAATCCGGCTACTGGACTACCATTCTCAACATGCTCAGCCAGGAACAAGGACCTTCGAAAGCATCCCTTCTACCAGTCCAACAAGCCAGCTCCTGGACTAGTCACTTGGCTGCCTGAGCATTATGAGAATTGTAGTCACTCAAACTGATCACATAAAATGAACGGGGGGGCGTCACTGGATAATGGAAGGGGGATGGGTGACAGAGACCCCTAATCCGAGCAGTCACTGGAAAGCCATACTGGGGGGAAGGGGATAGGTGACAGGGGATCCCTAATCCGAGAAGTCACTGGAAAGCCATACTGGGGGAGATGGGTGACAGGGACTAATCGAACAGTCACTGGAAAGCCATACGGGGGGGGGATGGGTGACAGGAACCCCTAATCCGAGCAGTCACTGGAAAGCCATACTGGGGGGGATAGGTGACAGGGGACTAATCCGAGCAGTCACTGGAAAGCCATACTGGGGATGGGTGACAGGACCCCTATCGAGCAGTCACCAGGAAAGCCATACTGGGGGGATCGGTAATCGAAGCAGTCACTGGAAAGCCTATACTGCCGAGCCCCTAATCCAAGGCAGTCACTGGAAAGCCATGGGGGTCAGGGGGATCCCTAATCCGAGCAGTCACAAAGCCATACGGGTGGGGGATGGGTGACAGGGACCCCTAATCCGAGCAGTCACTGGAAAGCCATACTGGGGGGGATGGGTGACAGGGGATCCCTAATCCGAGCAGTCACTGGAAAGCCATACTGGGGGGGATGGGTGACAGGGGATCCCTAATCCGAGCAGTCACTGGAAAGCCATACTGGGGGGGATGGGTGACAGGGGATCCCTAATCCGAGCAGTCACTGGAAAGCCATACTGGGGGGATGGGTGACAGGGGATCCCTAATCCGAGCAGTCACTGGAAAGCCATACTGGGGGGGGATGTCCCTCACAGTGATGGGGGTGATGGGAGTCTGCTTACCCTCCGCCTGCAGAGCTCCAGCACCACGAACACGAAGTCGTTATCCTCGAAGAAGCCATGGAAGCCCACCACATGTTTGTGGTCCAGGCTGCGCTGGATGGCGATCTCCATGGTCATCTTGTCCTTCTGGTGCGGTTTGAGCAGCATGGTCTTGGGGACGATCTTCCCGGCGAACACCTCCCGGCTCTCCAGGTCGGTGATCTCGTAGCACTTGGCGAAGCCCCCTTTGCCCAGGAAGCGGCCTCTCATGTACCGGCGGCGGGTGCGGGGGTCCACCAGGATCTCGGGGATCTCCTTGACGGAGGAGGCGAGCGGGAGCCCGGGGGGTTTCCCCATGTCCGGGGCCGGGACCGGGACCTTGCCGGGGATGTGAGCCATGAATGCGGTGCGGATTGCGGGGACAGGCTGGGACTCCTGGCCGGACGTGCTGCTACTCCTTGAGCCCTTTAATCCCTCTGCTCCCGGCCCTGCTGCCGCCGTTAGTTTTGAAGCAGAATGCAAGTCGCTGATTGGTCGCTGCGATTTAAAATCCAAACTCGCCGGTCGCGGGGCACCATGGGAACTCGGGGCATTTAAATGGCTTGACTAACTTTATTAGCACCAACGGCCGCGCACAAACGGACAAAAAAAAAAAAAGCATTGCAAAGCAAGGCCTCCCTGCCATGGAAACAAGGGGAGGGCCAACATTTAAACTGAGTGTTACTGGCAGGGGGTGGGAGCCTGAGAAAACGTCCAAACTGTCACAGATTCCACTATGTTTACCTGGTCTCATAGCACTTCTTCATTGTGAAAGTATACAGGATTCATATGCTGCACGATCCCCCAGTGTTTAATTAGCAGTATGCGGGGTTCATATGCTGCATGATCCCCCAGTGTTTAATTAGCAGTATGTAGAATTCATATGCTGCACGATCCCCCGGTGTTTAATTAGCAGTATGCGGGGTTCATATGCTGCATGATCCCCCAGTGTTTAATTAGCAGTATGCGGGGTTCATATGCTGCACGACCCCCCAGTGTTTAATTAGCAGTATGCAGAATTCACATGCTGCATGATCCCCCAGTGTTTAATTAGCAGTATGCAGAATTCATATGCTGCATGATCCCCCAGTGTTTAATTAGCAGTATGCAGAATTCACATGCTGCATGATCCCCCAGTGTTTAATTAGCAGTATGCGGGGTTCATATGCTGCATGATCCCCAAGTGTTTAATTAGCAGTATGCAGAATTCAAATGCTGCATGATCCCCAGTGTTTAATTAGCAGTATGCAGAATTCAAGTGCTGCATGATCCCCAGTGTTTAATTAGCAGTATGTAGAATTCATATGCTGCACGATCCCTCAGTTTTTAATTAGCAGTATGCGGGGTTCACGTGCTGCATGATCACCCAGTGTTTAATCAGCAGTATGCAGGATTCCTATACTGCAGGATCGCCCCAGTGATTAATTAGCAGTATGCAGGATTCAGATGCTGCATATCCCCCAGTGTTTAATTGGCAGTATACAGGATTCGTATGCTGCATGATACCCCAGTGTTTAATTAGCAGTATGCAGGGTTCATAAGCTGCAGGATCGCCCCAGTGATTAATTAGCAGTATGCAGGATTCATATGCTGCACTATCCCCCGGTGTTTCATTAGCAGTATGCAGGGTTCCTATACTGCAGGATCGCCCCAGTGATTAATTAGCAGTATGCAGGATTCATATGCTGCATTATACCCCAGTGTTTAATTAGCAGTATGCAGGGTTCATAAGCTGCAGGATCGCCCCAGTGATTAATTAGCAGTATGAAGGATTCAGATGCTGCATGTTCCCCAGTGATTAATTAGCAGTATGCAGAATTCAAATGCTGCAGGTTCCCCATTGATTAATTAGCAGTATGCATGATTCAGATACTGCAGAATCCCCCAGTGATTAATGACTTGAATTAATTATGTGCAGTCTGACACCATGAAGAAGTCATATGAGACCAGTAAGACATAGTTATTTACTGCTGGGAGGAATACTCTCTGCACAAACACAATTTAAAGGAAAAATGTCATCACATTTTTTCAATATTTTGATATAATCTTTATGCTCTAATAATTATCTTCTTTTAATTCAAATACATAAAAATTTAGGAGAAATCTCTTGTCCCACAGTTAATCTTTCTGCACTTGCAGTTGTATTGTACGGTATCTGTCCCAATGCTCAACGGCCTGTGGTTTTTAAACTTGTGTTCCTTCTGTTTGCAGCATTTGTTGTCGGCAATATTGAAAAGCAAGCAGAGAGGATGCAAGCTGCAAGCTCCCGGCAACCTTCATTCTGTGTTAAACTTAAAAAGGTTGACACCAGGGGCTGCAAGTACCATAACCACTTCAATTAGAGGATAAGGTTATGAGGTCTAGACAGTCCCTTTAAGATATTTATAGGGAGAGAGAGCACTAGTATTGGTTAGAACTGTTACTCAAAGAGAACAGCCAATGACAGCTGATGTGATGACAGCCAATTATTTCCCTTTGACCACAGCGACAGTGGAAGTGGTGTGATGTGACCCGTGCCCTGGGACACAATTAAGTTAAATCACTTGAAAAGGTTTCAAGGAGATGGGTGCCCAGTGACTTCAGCACTAATAACAGCTTCATTGTGATTGGACAGATCCTGGTCCGTTCGCACAACAACGGGTGCAGGACTCTATGCAACACCCATTAAAACAGCAGTTTCACACCCTTGCCTTCCACCAGCTCATCGCCCTCCGTGCCGTAGAGTGCTTCTTTACCACCACTGGAAGCTGTTCATTTTAACCGGGAAAAGTAAATTCCACACCGGGAGATACGCACCAACCACTTGGAACTTCTACTCGGCCTAAGGTTCGACAGTGGCCTGGTACAACGACCCCCGTTGCTACATCAGGACACCAAGAAGGGTGCTAACTGGAGGGGAAGAAAAGGAGGTGGAACTTGGAAGACTAACAAAAATCTCTAAAAGTTAGAGGGATCCCCCTTGTATGGAGCAGGAGCAAACTCTTGTTTATGACTGGCACATACTCGCAAACATCCTGATAGTCTCCGCCAGATCGGAGGGTAGCCACGTCCCCATAGAACTTTATTTGATGATTAATCATGCTACATACCACTGATCCAAGCACTTATTTCACAGTTTACTATTGGGAGCAAGCCCTGTCCAGGGATATATGACTCGTCATCTGTACTTGTTGGAACATTATATTTTATGGTTTATATTGTATATCGCCCTGCTGTCTGCGAGTTAATAAAATCAGCCCCAGTTAATTGAGTAATCCCCCCAGACACAGTGGCGCCAGTGAGAGAACCTGTTGTCACTGTTGATGACTCCCTGTTGCGATTCTCCCAATAATATTTGCCTGTGTTCCCAATAAAAAGTCGTTTTACCCTTTCACTAAGTCTCGACTGCTGTTTGGGGAAGGGCCATAGTCCATTTGGTGATTCTCTCCCAGTGCTAAGGGAACTTTCGCAGAGGTACTCAGTCGGAGTACAGAGCAGCTCCATCACAGTAATGAAGTTGCTATGGGGACGGAGAGGGGGCCAGAGCATTTCTTTTACTTTGATCCATATTTAAAGGGACCCTATAGGACCATCATAGCAATCTATGCTCATTGCACAGGTTTTAATACTATAAAGTGGCCTGTTCATATCTGCCTGCACACCATGCTTATAGCTGTAATAATGTACAATAATCACTGCAGCTATAAATCTGCCCTCTTTTACACTAATGTAAAATGATGAATTGTGACCGGGGGCTGTGATTAAACTGATAATACTCCACTCCTTCAAAAAATCGTTAAAAACCCACTTCTTCATAAAAGCGTATCAATTAAACTGTTAATAGCTCCTGACTGATTCCTCTTCTGCAACTGTCACTAGTCTAATACTATCCTTGCCTTTTTGTGTCATTTTACCCCACTCCCTGTAGCATGTAAGCTCATTGAGCAGGGCCCTAAACCCCTCTGTTCCTGTGTGTCAAACTCGTCTGGTTGCAACTACATGTTTGTTCGTCCACCCATTGTAAAGCGCTGCGGAATGTGATGGCGCTATATAAATATCATAATAATAATAATAGCTTAGTTGTGACTACAGACCTCCTGCTTTCGGCAGGACGGTCTCGATTCTGGGGTCCTGTCACACTATAGTTCCCTGGTGTAACATCCAGGAACTGTCCCCAGTCAGCACTGAGCGCATCGATATTCACTCACACTGTGCAGCGGGCACTAGGACCATGCAGAGGGCGCAGTACCCCCTGCAATGCCAGAAAGCCAGTGTGCTGGCCATGCTGGCTGTCAGAGGGCTGGCCTGCTCACTGTGTGTGTCCTTTTATGGGCGTAGCTAGTGACTGGTGATATCCCCTCATGGCTCCATCCACCCCATCCAATTGTCCCCCACTTGTTGGGAGGTAACTGGCTGCTATCAGCCTATTGAGCAACGGCACTCATTAGATTTAATGCAACATGCATCCATTTTTGTGGGTTTTTTTTTTTGCATTTTGCTAGATGAACCTTTTCTGTGAAGAATGTATGAATTTCTTGCACTTTCACTTTCACGTCTCCCAGAAGGAAGTAGTGAGACACCTAGTGGACCAGTTGCACATGTTTTTTTATTCACTCAAACAAGAAGTAGATTAAACCAGACTTCCCCAAACTCCGGCCCTCCAGATGTTGCGGAACTACAAATCCCATGACTCTATGAATGAAATAGATAGGCTGAGAATCATGGGAATTGTAGTTCAGCAACATCTGAAGGGATGGAGTTTGGGGAAGCCTGGATTAAACAAACTTTATAATGTTATAAACACAAAACTGTATTGCTAACACTATGGTGTCCCTCTACCCACGCCCCTTCCCCCTAAACAATCAAAGGGATAAATAACCCTTTAAAGACTTGGCTGATTCCTGCGTCCAAGTCCCTCAGTGCTGGCTCCATCTCCTCCTCTGTCATCAGCGGGAGGGGGGGAACCTAATGTGCATTAGGCCTTCCCTATAGGAAAGCATTGACTCAGTACTTTCCTATGGGGATCTGTAAACCACTGGACGACCTCATGCAAAGCGTGAAGATGTCCATCATCGTTTCATGGCGTTATACTAAGTGGAACTGCAGGAAGCGCCTCTAGTGGCTGTCTGGTAAACATCCACTAGAGGCAGTCTTAACCTCCCAATATAAACATTGCAGATTCTCTGAAACTGCAACGTTTTACATTACAGGGTTACGTGGGCAGGGACACTGCACGCCGACCACGTCAATCCGATGAACGGGTCCAGGTACCTAAAGTGCGCCCATAGGCACCCAGACCTCATCTCACAGGTGGTGCGGGTGCAATGGCCCTGTAGTTTTAGTCCTGCAATGTAAAACGTTGTAGTTTTGTGGATACGGCAATGCTTACATTGGTGGATGTCTTCCTGCGGTGCTTCCGCGGCAACGAACGGGGTTACTTGATTATTTGACAGAAGATGTCGAACGTCATCAAATGCTCTATCATTGGAAGTATTTGATTGGACGAGCACAGCACTTGCCGCGCATGTGCTGCTCGTCCCCCAATGCTTGTC